TCCTGGATCTCCTGATGCTTGCTTGTGACAGCCAACTTGCTGAGACATGCTGATCAGGCTGATTCTGATTGATCCTTGTGAGATTAATCAGGATCCCAGAACTCAGTTGATCTTGCAAGCCATATGTGCTACCAACCCAATTAGATTGTCAATTCCCAATGATTGCTGTAGATCAATTTGGCTCACACTTCATATGCTGATCTGCTGACCCTGTGACACCTTTCTTCGGGCAGCAGGGGTGGGCGAGGATATGGGTTGGACAGTGTGGTGAAGCGGAGCAAAGTTCAATTGGTAGGGCATTCAGACTCTTAATCTGTTGAGGAACATGGTCAGGTCAAGATAGCAAGTGGTCAAATTGTTGTATTTCATGAGAACTAAGTACAGTAATGTCAAGAGTATATATGCTTTTGCAGTCAGTATGTGAAGGTGAGGTGCTGTGTATGACTACATGCTTGTTGAATGAGATAGGAGTCATTGGTGGGTGGTGTTGGACATTGGTGGGAGTTGATGGGTGGCGATGCTGAGCAAGGTTTGCAGAAATGTTGGGAAATGACTAAGCAGTCATGCGTTTTTACTCAAGTGCCAAGGAAGATGAGATAGGTGCAAAGCTCATGGGAACATATGCAGTCTATGCTCTTGGACTGGTACAGTCCCTGTCCAAAGTTTGGGGACAGGGTCCAATAGACAATAAATCAACCATCCAATAGCATACCTTCCATCTGCTTGGAGTAGTGATCTCTCATAAGTGTCAGGCTGAGCAAAACACACAGTGAGCAAGCTTGGAAGAAGAGCTTTTGATTGCAGTGAGTCTCGGAGCTGACTAATACTTGAGCAGACCTCCATGCTTAGTAAGCACTTGCTCCATGCAATGCTCCATTGACTTGATCACAGGATTGATATGTTCGAGCATGATCTGGGTGTTCCACACCTCCTCTGCAGCTCTGGCAAGTTCATCCTGGGTTTTCGGTACTGGCAAGCACTTACTAAGCAAGTTTTTGAACACATACCATATGTTCTCAATAGGGTTAAGGTCCAGTGAAGCCAGTGAGTGTTCCTGCATCTTAATGTGGTATTCAGCCTGCTGTTGCTTGCAGATAGCAGCCTGATGACAGCTGCTGCTGTCTTCAACAACCGACAGGCCATCAGGGTATGCACTAACAGCAGTTACAGCATCCCAGAGTGGCCTGTCGATGATCCAATCGCAATATCTGACAGCTGTGAGGTTCTTGGTGGGATCCCATTGATTAGCCAACCCCAGCTGCTTCTTTCTTGGAGCCAATGGGCACACAATCAACAGGGTTTTAAGGTTGTATGCAATGCTGGCCCATACCTGGATGCTGAAATGGCTGGAATGGAACATTGGAACCATGTTGTTGATGTCTTCTCAAGTGTTTTTCTGGCAACTAACCCATGTGCATCCAGGCCAGTAGCCAACCTTGACAGCTGCCTCATCTGTGAACAGCACATCCCTCCAATCAGTGGTGCTGTTAGCCTTGGCCCATTCTAGATGTTTATGCCAGTTTTTGGCTGTCAGAAATGGCTTTCAGAGTGCAATCTGGCAGTTAATACTGGCCTGGTATGCTGCTTTCTGGAGCTGCATAACTGGAATGCCACCAAGCGATGCTGACAGCTGTCACCATGATAGAAATGGGTTTTTGAGTACCTCACACTGATGGTATTGGTCCAAGGTAGCTGTCCAGGAGTGCAGACAGCTGGATTGTGCTTTTGTTTTGAAGGTACAATGCTCCTTAAAGTTATGGATGGCCTTGTGAACTGCTGTTTTGGAAACACCACTTAGCTCTGTGATTTGTTGAATTGGCAGCCCAGTATCATGCATTGCAATGATTGAAGCATGCTTGCTTGGAGAGAGCTCATTGCCACAGACCATATCAGTGTTTGAAGTGTTCTTGATTAGTGTGATGGTAGTGCTATTGCTCAATGACAACGATGACCCAAATGTGGGGTAACTGACTAAATCAGGAAATTACCCGATTGTCCACAAACTTATGCACAGGGACTGTACTGTGGTATGCAGGGGGTATGTGTCATGGGCCAGGATGCGCAGGAAGCAGGAAGATCCATCAACTCATATGAAGGGAGTGCAGGAATCAAGAAATCGGGCAGATCGTAGGATTTGCAGCAGAATTCACTGAGATCAGTAGTAGAGACAGCTCTATTACAGATCTCACTGAGATCGGTGCAAGCGAAGTTGATATTACGAATCCCACCGAGATTGGTAGTTGAAGAGACCATGTGGCAGATTCCACCAAGATCAGTGGCAAGGATGATTGTATGACAGATTCACATATGAGGGGGACCAAGCACTGCCAAGGAAGGGACCAAACTCAGGAGCATGCAGTTGGTTACCACTCAGGGGTCACAAGATCAGGACCTGGAGAACCGTCGCTGGTCGAAGGAAGAAGAGCTGTGTCAAGGACACTGGCCAGCAGGTCATGAGGACGAGGAGCAGTGTCGAAGGAGTCGACACACAGCTCAAGAAGGACAGGAGTGGTGCTACAGGGATCCCTGTATAGTGTCAGGGGTCTCGCGCCTGAAACCCAGGTCGGTCTGTCGAGATACTCAGTGACTATCAAACTGTGCGACAGCTATTGTCTCGGTATTGGTCTTGATGAGCTAGTTGTTCAGTGACTATCAAGTTGCACAATGACAGCAGGTGGTGTTTGTTGTATATACTATCATAGGTTTCAGCTGACCTCTGTGGACACTCCAATCAGGGGTAGCTTGGCATGATCAATATCAATATGTAGGTTATGATGACACCAAGGTCTGGTGTGAGTGTTGATGATGATGAAGTTGATGGTGTTGGTGATAAGGTTGGTGGCATTGGTGATAGTTCGGTGGTGTCAACATGAGTGTCCAGTGTGCTGACTAATGCTTGAAGTGATCCCCAGACTGCAGTGGACTACTGCCTTTGGTTCTATCTATATCTGGACTGCTGACCTGCTATGGGCTGCCTTCGGATGTCAGGTAGTGATGATACAACACACTCACTACAATGAGGAGCAACCTTGATAGATTGCTGCTATGCTGACTAGAACTAATATATACTTATGCTGAAGTGATAACTAGTTATGGTGTATGTAGAGTGGATGAGGATCCACTTGACCTTTGATGATGAGAAAGTATGGTTATATACCTCTTCACAGCATTGCCAGTGACGCTGCTCCTGCTCTCACTCTCCAGAGAGTACCTTCTTCATCAAGTACTTTACAGGGGGCCCCTCTAGCACCACTCCTGTCCTCCTTGAGCTATCCTGCTTGCTTGGCACCCCTGTGCCTCTGTGTCGACTCCTTCAACACTGCTCCTCCTCCTTGCTATCCTGCTTGCTTGGCACCCCTGTGCCTCTTGAGTGGTGTCGACTCCTTTGACACTGCTCCTCCTCCTCAGGACCTGCTTGCTGGTTCCCTATACACTGCTCCTTCTCCTTTGACTGGTGACAGTTCCTTTGACTCTTGTCTCTCGAGCCCCTGAGTGGTAACTGTCTGCATGCTCCTTGAGCTTGGTCCTCTTCTGCATGTGAGTCCATAGGAGTCCATGGTCTCCATGGAGACTGCACTACGACCATGCTCTCTACTGGTATCGACTAGATCTCCGATACCTGTGCTCCTTCCATATGAACCAGTGACCCTCCTGCTTCTTGAGCATTCAGGCCCATGACATATAGTACTCGATGAAGAGGGTACTCTCTGGAGAGAGAGAGCCGGAGCAGTGTTGCAGGCGACACTACAAAGGATGTATATAAGCATACCTTCTCATCATAGGGGGATGAGTGGTTCCTCATCCACTCTACACCATATAAACTAGTTGTCATGGGCCTGGATGCTCAAGAAGCAGGAGGGTCACTGGTTCATATGGAAGGAGCACAGGTATCGAAGATCTAGTCGATACCAGTAGAGAGCATGGTTGTAGTGCAGTCTCCATGGAGACCATGGACTCCTATGGACTCACATGCAAAGGAGAACCGAGCCACATGCGAGGAGGGCCAGGCACAGCCACGAGGAGGACCAAGCTCAGATGGTTACCACTCAGGGGCTCGAGAGACAAGAGTCATAGGACACTGGCAAGCAGGTCCTGAGGAAGAGGAGCAGTGTTGAGGGAGTCGACACCAGGTCATGAGGAGGAGGAGCAGTGTCAAGGGAGTCGACACCAGGTCATGAGGAGGAGGAGCAGTGTCAAAGGAGTCGACACCACTCAAGAGGCACAGGGGCGCCAAGCAGGAGAGGCCCCTGAGCAGTACTCGATGAAGAAGGTACTCTCTGGAGAGAGAGCAGGAGCAGCATCACTGGCAATGCTGTGAAGAGGTATATAACCATGCTTTCTCATCATCAAAGGTCAAGTGGATCCTCATCCACTCTACATACACCATAACTAGTTATCACTTCAGCATAAGTATATATTAGTTCTAGTCAGCATAGCAGCAATCTATCAAGGTTGCTCCTCATTGTAGTGAGTGTGTTGTATCATCACTACCTGACATCCGAAGGCAGCCCATAGCAGGTCAGCAGTCCAGATATAGATAGAACCAAAGGCAGTAGTCCACTGCAGTCTGGGGATCACTTCAAGCATTAGTCAGCACACTGGACACTCATGTTGACACCACCGAACTATCACCAATGCCACCAACCTTATCACCAACACCATCAACCTCATTATCATCAACACCCACCAACCTTATCACCAACGTCATCAACCTCATCATCATCAACACTCACACCAGACCTTGGTGTCATCATAACATTGATATTGATTGTGCCGAGCTACCCCTGAACGGAGTGTCCACAGAGGTCAGCTGAAACCTACGATAGTATATACAATGAACGCCACCTGCTGTCACTGCGCAACTTGATAGTCACTGATACCAAGACAATAGCTGTTGCACAGTTTGATAGTCACCGAGAATCTCAACAGACCGACCTGGGTTTCAGGCGCAAGACCCCTGACATTAGAGTGGGTTGTTCAAGCAGCTCCTCATGATCACCATGATGGACCCAGACCTCAACAATAAGCTTGATAAACTACTCACTCTATTGGAAGCACAGCTAGAGCTTACCAGACAGGGTCATCGAGAGGAACGTTTACAACGAGCTCAACTGAGCAGGGAGGAGACAATGGACCTCTCTCACTCAGAAGACCAAGCAGGAGGAGGAGATGAGTCTATGATAGGAGACCCACATACTCCTACTCCAGCTCCACAACCAAGACAATCAGTCTCATTCAACCTGGATGAGCAGGAGGACATCAACTACGAGAAGTATGCTTCACCTACTGGGCCAAGATATGTCAAGACTAAGCTGGACCCCTACAGCAGGACCAGGACAGACCCTTACCCCCTGGACCAAGAGGAGGACTCTAGCATCATGGCAGATCTTAACTGGTCAAAGCCCATCGCCACCCCCTTTCCAAAGTTCAATCCCCAAGACATGGAGATCTTCATTCTAGAAGCCAAAGCATGGTTTAAGTCCAACCAGGTGTATGAGCAGACTAGGATGATCAACCACATGGGTGCTCAACTAGAAGGGACAGCAAGAGAGTGGTGGACCTCCAAGCTCCATATTGATAGAGCTAGAGAAGGAAGGTTGTTCAATGATTGGCACTACTTCACAGAGTGCCTGTCAGAGCAGTTCAACCCACGCAATGCTAGGATGGAGGCATACAACAAGCTGTTGGCTCTCAGACTCACAAGTGATGCTCCTGGTGCCACCACATGTCATGTAGAGCGGAGGCCCCTGAGCAGTACTCGATGAAGAAGGTACTCTCTGGAGAGAGAGCAGGAGCAGCATCACTGGCAATGCTGTGAAGAGGTATATAACCATGCTTTCTCATCATCATAGGTCGAGTGGATCCTCATCCACTCTACTCACCATAACTAGTTATCACTTCAGCATAAGTATATATTAGTTCTAGTCAGCATAGCAGCAATCTATCAAGATTGCTCCTCATCATAGTGTGTGTGTTGTATCACCACTACCTGATGTCTGAAGGCACCCATAGCAGGTTAGCGGTCCGGATATAGATAGAACCGAAGGCAGTAGTCCACTGTGGTCCAGGGATCACTTCAAGCATCAAGTCAACACACTGGACACTTGTGTTGATGCCACCAACCTTATCACCAACACCATCAACCTCATTATCATCAACACCCACCAACCTTATCACCAATGTCATCAACCTCATCATCATCAACACTCACACCAGACCTTGGTGTCATCATAACATTGATATTGATTGTGCTGAGCTACCCCTGAACAGAGTGTCCACAGAGGTCAGCCGAAACCTACGATAGTATATACAATGAACGCCACCTGCTGTCACTGCGCAACTTGATAGTCACCAATACTAAGACAATAGCTGTCGCACAGTTTGATAGTCACCGAGAATCTCGACAGACCGACCTGGGTTTCAGGCGCGAGACCCCTGACACTAGTTATTACTTCAAGCATAAGTACTCATTAGTTTCAGCCAGCATAGTCACAATCAAGTAGATTGCCTCTCATTGTAGCATGTGTGTCATATCACTGCTCACTGAAATCCAAAGGCAGTTCATAGCAAACCAGTGGTCCAGATAAAGATAGAACCGAAGGCAGTAGTCCACTGTGGTCCAGGGATCACCTCAAGCAATAGTCGACACACTGGACACTCATGTCAATGTCACCAAACAATCACATCACTCATACCAGACCTTGGTGTCAGTACCAGTTCATATCAGTTATTGATCATGCTGAGCTACCTCTGGATGGAGTGTCCACAGTGGTCAGTCGAAACCTGCAGTAGCAAACCCCTTACTGCAGTTCTGAGCAAGAAAAGTGATAGAGACAGCTCTACTACATATTTCACCGAAAATCGCAATACCACAAGTGTTGTCACATAACTTGACAGGATCTATAATAGATGAGACTCTATTACAGATTTCAGGTTTCAGGCATGCGACCGCTGACAGTATGTTGACATGACAATGCTCATGAAAGGAGATACATGGCCTGTGGACATGACTCGAAGGTAGGCATAGTCGGGTGTTAAGATATATATATACTCCTGTTTAGTTGCCACCCTCTCACAAAATTCAAGCCTTTTACATAGTACCACCAGACTGATGGGAGTGCCTGACTGTGGCCTCCTGAGCGGTGTATCAAATTTCAACTCCATGTCATGTTTCTGCATCATCCACAGGGTGGACGCATAAAAGCACAAGACTTAGTTGCTTCGTTCTTCCTTAGTACCAGCATCCATCCACTGTCTGTACATACCGTTCATCGTCATCACACGTAATAACCACGTCCTACCATTCAAGTCTGTGTCCCAAGTGACAAGCGACCACACTATTTGCTTCGGACATTACTTTTGTCTGCAGGTTATCCTACTAATGTGTGAGGATCAAAGAATCTAACAAACTTCCAACACGTTGAAGGTGGTGAAGCAAGTTCTGCCGACGAAGTTGAGTCTGTTAGATCCTGCTTTCTTTATTGAAAAGTTTTTTTAAAAGCAAAAACGTCAGAAGATTGACGTGTGGAGAAAAGGCTCTACGCCAACGCCAGACGCGGTTCGCGTCAAGAAGGGTGATTTCGGTGTCTCTCTCTCTCTCTCACCAAAAGACGGAGCTTGTCCAGAAGTGCGCGTTCAAGGCTACGTTTCGCTTAGAGTAGAATGCGGTTGAAGTAAAAACTGCAAGAAGGGCAAGGGCGTCGTGTTGGGCTTTCTCGCGACTGACTGGAAGCGCAGTCTGTGACACGAGCGAAGCAGGCGCTTGACCCTGTCTGAGTCTGTGGTTAGCTTCCTTCTGGTTTGCTACCTTCTTCACCACTATAGACGCCTCAAGATCTCGACCATCCTCGTCTCTATCCTGTACAGCTTAGATATCAGCTTGAGCCTCTCGTACAGGAGCAGGACCGGACTGCACGCCATCTCTCCTCTTAGGATTCGGAAGGACCAACTCATCAAGCGTGACACGCGTTGACTATCCAGCTTTTCACCGCAGCAACAGCCATACAGCCACAATGATGCACGATCTTCCCACGCCAGCTCCATCGTCGGATCCTCTGATGCCTGGCTCCTCGCCTGTCAAAGGTGCAAAGGATGACAAGACTCTCTTCGCAGGCAAAACGGCCGCTGTGTCGCGTCCATTTGCTCCTCTCGACCTTAATGTCGTCGGTAATAGAGTGAAATCATTCCAGGATGCCAGAGAAAAGGCTGGTGCCACTCCTCCTCCTTCCTCGCCTCCCGCCTCTTCTGTGTTCCAATCGTCCCCTATCGCGCCTTGCCAACAGCAGCAGGCACTCGGATTTTCGCCGGTCAAGCAACAGCGCACCTCGCCAGCTTCCAACACCTCTATTCGCAGCATTGTGCTAGAGCAGAATGACACGCCTCTGTCCAGCATCGATCGGCAGCACCGCTCTATCAGTCAACCTCTCGGACTCGTCGCGAACCCAGATGGCGGCCATGTGCCTAACCTCCTCTTTGGGAGCAAGAGCGTCAGTCTGGTCATCGGCCGATCTAAGCCTTCCGGTCAGCCTCACAGTTCCTGCGATCACAATGAATATAGCGCAACAGCCACTGCCGACATTCCTGCGTCGATGCACGGTCTAGGCGCCAGTAAGATCCTTCGTGTCAACCTTGCCAATGATGCTCGTCACGTCTCGCGTGTTCACGCCATTGTCGAATGGATTCCCTTTGTTGCGCGTCCAGCTGCTTCCAAGAAGCAAGGCGTCTCGAGCTTTACCGCTAAAGGCTCTCCCATTGCAGCTCGGATCGCATCTCAGAATGGAGTCAATGGAACCTTCATCGTGCGCATCGTCGGTCAGAATGGTCTCATTGTCGACGGAAAGCGTCGCCGGGAAGGCCAGGTCTTGCGACTTACATCAGGCAAGTCTCTGATCGACTTCTTTGGCGTCAAGTGTCGTTTTGAACATGTTCCTTCCAGCACCGACCTTCCACCTTCGCCTGTCAAGTCTACGCAAGCTCGCGTTCAGGATTGGACGCAAAGAGTCACGTCGCCAGTCAAGAGGGCTACACCAAAGTCTGTTGATCGCTCTGAGATCACACAGGAGGTTGCTGCTAGTTCACCACCTGTCAGCTCGCCTCTTTCCATGCCGAGCTTGATGTCACCGAGCAAGCGTGGCGTTGCATCGCAGAGGAGAATGACCTCAGAGGCCGAAGAGGAAGACCGTGTCACCAGTTCTCCGACACCAGTCAACCGTTGGAGTGGCGGCCTTGTCGCCGGTCCCCTCAACATTCAACAGGTTCGAGCTGGAGACAGCGATCAAGAGATGGGAGGCAAAGGATCGGGTGCCATGGACGATGACGAAGAGGATCAAGATGACGAGAGTGACGACGAAGACTACGTGCCTGTAGACTTTGATACAGCGCGAAAGAGTGTGTTGGTCACTCGCAAGCCAGTCGCTACTCAAACAGCAACTGAGGGTGACTATGACGACAATGACAGCAGCTCGCTCTCTGATCTCGACTCTGGTCTTGTCGATCAGCAGATCGGAGACTCGGCTTTGGCCACACAGCCAATTGCTTCACCTGTTCCAGCACAGCGAAAGCGAACAGTGTTGGCAGGCAGCACCCCTCGCAGCCGCGAATCGTCAGCCAAGCCTGCTCTCGCTGACGCCCTCACCGAGTCGCAAACCAGAATGCCACCTCCCGCAGCCGCCATCGCTAATGTACGCAGCGCAGCTCGGAGATCCGCTAGCAACAGTCCCGCGCCCTCCTCCCCCCTCCCCGGCTCTTCCGTACAAGAGCTTCAATCTCTCGCTCGCAACTGCATCCGCCAACTAGCCCCCACCTACGACCTTCCCGGTCTCCTCGCAGGAGCAGTCGTCTTCCACCGTACCGCTACCATCTCCGCCTCTGAAGCAGTCCGCTCCGTTCTCAGCACCACCCCCGGGCTCATGAAAGGCGAAGCAGGCGAGCATTCCGTCGCATTCTCCCCCTCCAAGCGCAAACTGCCTGGCTCAACCACCCTCCAACACGGCTGCATTGTCGAAGGCTGGCCCACAACCCCTGAAACCAACGAACGATGGACCTCGATCGCACGAAAAGCTTGGCGAGAACATCTCGAAGTAGTCCTCCAATCCTCTCCGATGTTCGGTGTCATTCAGCGCGCAGGAAAGGATGCTTCTGGAAACCCTCTCGAATGCTGGTACTACTACGATAAGGAGAATGACCCTGATAAAGAGAGGGCGGAGAATCTGGGTGTGTTTGCTAAACCAATGAGGAAGGCGCTCAAGGGTCAAAAGCCGATCTTTTGGAAGCAGAGTGGATATGCTTCCCGTCAGACAGACGAGGTTGTGGAGACGAAGAGTTATACACAGACAGTACAGGCTGCAGCGAGTTCAAAGGGGAGGATGGATCAGGAATCGATGGACATTGCTACCGCCTCCATTCCCTCAAGTTGCGTTGGGAATGGGAGGAAGAGAAAGGCGCAGGCTCATGAGGAGACACAAACTGGAGTCAAGGATGAAACTAGTGCAGAGACGCTGGACGAAGAGAGACGGAGGGAGAAGCTGAGGGCAAAGATCGCAAAGAGCGGATTGTGGGACGAGACTCAGCCAGAAGAAAAGGAGGAGCCCACGTGGGATAGGAAGGGTGATCAGGACTATAGGAAGGGTCGCAAGTGAGTCGAGGCCCATCTCACGCTCCATACCGTATTCTGCTACAGATATGAGTGATTCATTCTATGGAAGTGCTCATTCTATGTTCGGTCGCGTTTTGATCTTGAATGCATGCTCTTTTCGAAAGTATATGGTGGGTCAAGATGAAAAGTATACCCTGAGAGCATGTGGCTGACCCTGCGGCTCCGTCTGAAGCCCGAGCAGCCGACCGATGAAGGCACATGCTCAAGTTACTTTAACGTCTTGTGCGTAGTTGTGAAATAAGAGTAGTGGTGGTCCAAAGACGATTTTTCACCAAACAACACATATTTGGCATGGTCGCTTCAACCATCAACACTGATCTTCGGCATCTTCGTGCTCAAGCAATGTCAGACAGCGCAGGCAACATGAACAGGAGCAGACCTTTCGGGATCGGTTCGGACTTCTGCGTGTTGTTCATAGCTGTGAATTGGGTTCGACACGATAACCAACTTACAGCCTCGGCGTTTGGTTGTCCGATTTTGCACGTTTGCGGCGAAAGACCCTTGAAGCCGATTCGGTCAACGGTCGCTTTTGTTTTCTCGCAACTCTGCTGAGCGGAGTCAAGATCGATGGGTATGCCGACATCATGCTCGCCCTCGCCCGACCTTGCCGATTCCGTACCACGGTTGTACCACTTCCCTATCCGCTTTTCTTGCTAGCGGCTGAATAATCCTACGATTCCCATGTCGGTCATACGGCGAGCCATCCCTGCGTGTTATTCGGTATCGTGGACTCCAGGGAAGTGGGCTTTGCGGATCGGCGAATGGTTGCAGTGAAGGTTCAACCAACCATGCTTCGCTGATCCTCCAGACCTCCATGAAGAAAGCACTTGCAGGCGCAAAAAGGGGGTCAAACAAAACCCCAACCATGCGCGATTCCGATTCCGATTCCGATTCCGATCTCGAACAACACCGCGGGGTTCCCAAAAAAAAAAAAAAAGCTTACAGTGGATAAGTTAACCGAATCCTTGTTTCTCACCTTCTCTCTGTTATTGTTCTTGTCTCACCATCCATCACTTCGTTCGGGATGCCAGACTTTCCGCATCTCTGAAGAAAGCCCTCCTTCCGAATCTGTCGGCGAGTCAGCTGCTCTCACCCACCACCCACCATCCTTCTTGCAATTCCTGAGCGCCAAACGCGGTACGAAGGGTATAAAAAGTGACGAAGCCACAACCCCTACTTCGTCTTCCGGTAATTGTTACCTTCTATACTACACCCTGCTTTTCGGACGGATCTTGGACTTTGGGATGGACAAAGAGTAGGTGGCGCCCAAACGACGAGACGCCTATATCTTCCCTCTCTGCCCATACATCTAAACCTACACGTGGAATCATACCTCAAAGGAAAGGTAGGACAAGATGAGCTCGGTCGATCCTGGATCAGTGCCGCCATTGGGCGCTGTCCAACCTCAAGCATCCAGCAGTACAGCCAACACATCACGTAGCTCGCACGATGCGGGGTCCATCACCGTCGGATCTTCTTCCCAAAACGTCTCTAACAACGGACTCACCAATCGCAAATCCAACAGCAAAACATCACACATCAACGACGAAAAGAACTACTCATCTACCGAGACAACTCCCACCATTGCTACATCCTCAAAGGAAACAAAGAGATGTGGCAGTCCAGCAATGTACCCCCTCTTCGACGGCGACCTGCCGTGGTCTCAACGCTCTTGGGCATACCAACTCGTCCCCTTCCGTGGAATGTGGTATGATCTCCGTCGTCGCCAACCCTATCTCGCCTCGGATTGGACCGACGGCTTCGAACCACGCAACTGGTGGACCGTCTTCAACTCTGTCATCCGGATGTACTTTATCAACCTCATGCCTGCCCTCGCTTATATTCTGGATATGAACTACCGCACGGACGGTTCGTACGGGGTGAACGAAGTCATCCTAGCTTCGGCCCTAGCTGCGATCGTGTTCTCCATCTTTTCCGTCCAACCGCTCACTTTTGTAGGCGTGACGGGTTTGATCAATTTGGTCAACTATACGCAGTACAACATCTTCGTTGGATACTATGGGTTCGATAGGATGGAGTACTTGAGGATACAGGCTTGGTCGTTGATCTGGGCGGCAGGATTCCACTTCGTGGTGGCAATCTTTAATGTATGCGATTTCACCCGGTTTATTACTGATATGACTAGCGAGACGTTCGGCTTCTACGTAGGCGTCATCTACATCCAGAAGGGAATCGAACTCTTGATCGAAGAATTCAATCCATTGCCATTGGACAACACAACAGGCTGGCTCTCAGTAACGATCGCAATCCTCTTCACCGTTTCCGTCTACCTCGTTGCCAAAGTGGGAAACTCAACATACCTCCCCTTCCGCATTCGAAACCTGGTAGCGGGGTACGCATTCGCAGCTGGGTGTATATTTTGGACCGGCTTCAGCCATTTCCCGAAAAACTCCTTGGAGAGGGTACCGATAGAAAGATTGCCTATCACAAAAGCGTTTTTCCCATCTTTGGACAGATCATGGTTTATCGACTTTTGGAACATCGAACTGAAGTACGTCTTTGTTGGTGCACCGTTGGGATTTTTGATCATGTTGCTGTTCTACTTTGATCACAACGTTAGCAGTGTCATGTCTCAAGCGAGGAATTATCCTGTGAAGAAACCTGCTGGGTTTCATTGGGATTTCTTTCTGCTCGGAATCACGACGCTCGTTTCTGGGTTTCTTGGTTTGCCGGCGCCGAATGGGTTGGTTCCCCAGGCTCCGGTTCATACCGAGACGCTTTCGGTTTATGCTCAGGTGGAGAAAGACGATCATACAAAACGCATCGCTAACGAGACCTCCTCCAAGAACAAACGCAAGATGAAGACTGTCAAGCAACACCATATAGTAAACGTTCGAGTGGTGGAAAACCGCCTTTCGCACTTCATCATTGGTCTTTTAACACTTGGAACTATGACTCGCCCTCTCTTGGTCGTACTCGGTACAATGCCCCGCGCCGTATTCGCCGGAATCTTCATCCTGGTCGGGTGGGCCTCCATCGAACGCAACAACATAACCATGCGAACTCTTGCCATCTTCCGCGATCGTCATCTCTCTCCCGCCGACGAACCATTGAACTCTATCCGCCGCAGTAAAATCGCCCTCTTCGTCGGAATCCAATGGCTGTTCGCAGCAATGACAATCGCCATCTCCGCTACAATCGCAGGAATCGGGTTCCCAGTGATCATCACACTCTTGATTCCACTCAGATATTGGGTGGTTCCGAAGTGGTTTAGCCCGTTAGAGTTGAAGGTGTTGGATGCGGCAACGGCGGATGCGGATGGTGTTTTGGCGAGTTTGGGTCATGAACCGGAGAGAGTTACGGGGAGGGGAGTGGAGATTGCGTTGGATACGGGGATTGCTGGTGAGCTGTACCCGAGGAAAGGGCTGGATGAGGAGGAGGAGGGGAGGGGGGATAAGTTTGCTTCGGAGGTGAGGGATGAGTATGCGAAGAGGAGTAGAAGGGTGGGTGGGAACGATGAAGAGGCGAACATTGGTGGTGGCGGGGGTGCGGTTCGGAGTGTTGCTGGGGTTGGTGGGCGTGAGACGGCTGATCCGGAGAGGCATGTTGCTGCTGCGTCGGGTGAGGGGATTATTGCTGGGGGGTTGGGGTCCGGTGCTGCAGCTGCTGCTGAGGATGATCGCAAAGAGGAGGCTGAAGAGATCGCTGAGGAGCAAGATGAAGAGCAAGAGGAAGAGGCCGATAAGGGTAAGAGTATCGAGCGAGAAGAGACGCCAGCTGACCCCGCACCTGCTGTTATCGCTGCCCCTGCCCAACCACGAGCATCTTCCAGCTCGCGGTCCGTCGACCAGGTCGGCCAAGCTACACCAACCGGACAGCCAAAGTCGCCAAGGAAACCTCGCTTCGTCTCAATCGAGAACCCACGTAGAGGCGCTGGTTCGCCTCCACCGCCTGTGCAGTGGCGCGATTCTGATGCCTAGTTCTGGACCTCCAGCACATTCGATCTCTGTGTAGTAGCACGCACTCTCGCTTGGATGTACCTGAAGATCAATCATTTACTTGCACACTTTGTGGAATGGCTGAGGACAGTTGAAGCATGCGGTGTCTCGGCTATTGAAGCATGCAAATGCAGCCTTTGCCAAGCCCACACATCCAATCACCAACTTCACTCACTTGGACTTAGTGCATTGTCCAGGCTGACTGCCAAACCTCAAGATGCTGGTCATCAGACAGCCAGTGTTTTCCTCCTTGACCTCTTAGTTACTCCCTTACACTCCTGCCCTATCAGCTCTTAGTACCACACATGCATACAAAGAGGATTGAGGCATATATAAACACTTGATTCACCATGTACTTAGAAATGAATCACTATTGCAATTGATACTTGTGATCACTGACTTTGATGCACCTTCAATTGATCTTGACAATGCTCTTCAACTGATTAAGAGTCTGACTGCTCTTGCCACACAATCCTCAACACCATGCCTTCGCAACCCAACAACCTGCATCCCACCAATGACCCCTCACTTAAGGACTCCTCTGATGACCAGGCTGAAACAATTCCAGCACCTGCAGACCATCAAAGAACTGCCAAACACAATACCAACTCCTCTGACAATTCTGATAGCAATGACAGTGAACCAAACAAACCTCTGCTTGATCTTAATGACATCAACAAAATGAATATCAACACCCTCCAGAACATCATCACACAATCCACCCTGCACAAATGCGCCAAGACCTCCTCATATAAGCTACCCTCCAAGCACTGTGGTTTCCTCCATGAAGTGACCCAACTCAATGATGCACTAAAGGACACCCCCAAACTAACCATGAAGAACTGGCACACCTGGAACCCTTGTTTCCAGGACATATTGGCCTTGTGGTCCCCAGCCCTTAAGCACCTCAACAGCACCACCAAATTAGGTGATAAAAAGTACTGCCAGAAACTGGGTGCAAAACTCCACACAATCATCCAGAGCAACACCAAGCTCATCAGCCAGGATAACATAAACTACTTGTTCATGTGACCTGCAAATACTGAATCATGGAGGACCAACAAATTATATGCCTGACTCAAGAAAGACCTCACCAAGATGGAGCACATTGCTGAATCAACCCTCTGTCAGGGGTCTCGCGCCTGAAACCCAGGTCGGTCTGTCGAGATACTCGGTGACTATCAAACTGTGCAACAGCTATTGTCTCAGTATTGGTCTCAATGAGCTACGTCACTTGGCAACTATCAAGTTGCATGATGATGGTGGGTGGCATTTGTTGTATATACAATTGTAGGTTTCAGCTGACCTCTGTGGACACTCCATTCAGGGGTAGCTCAGCACAATCAATATCAATATGTAGGTTATGATGACACCAAGGTCTGGTGTGAGTGTTGATGATGATGAGGTTGATGGTGTTGGTGATAAGGTTGGTGGCATCAACAAGAGTGTCCAGTGTGTTGACTGATGCTTGGAGTGATCCCCAGACCACAGTGGACTACTGCCTTCAGTTCTATCTTAATCTGGACTGCTGGTTTGCTATGAACTGCCTTCAGATGTCAGGTAGTGGTGATACAACACACACACTACAAGGAGGAGCAACCTTGATAGATTGCTACTATGCTGACTGGAACTAATATATACTTATGCTGAAGTGATAACTAGTTATGGTGTGTGTAGAGTGGATGAGGATCCACTCGACCTTTGATGATGAGAAAGTATGGTTATATACCTCTTCACAGCATCACCAGCAACACTGCTCCTGCTCTCTCTCTCCAGAGAGTACCTTCTTCATTGAGTACTGTACAGGGGGCCCCTCTAGCACCACTCCTGTCCTCCTTGAGCTATCCTGCTTGCTTGGCACCCCTGTGCCTCTTAAGCTGTGTCGACTCCTTCGACACTGCTCCTCCTCCTTGCTATCCTGCTTGTTTGGCACCCCTGTGCCTCCTGAGTGGTGTCGACTCCTTCGACACTGCTCCTCCTCCTCAGGACCTGCTTGCTGGTTTCCTATACACTGCTCCTTCTCCTTTGACTGGTGACGGTTCCTTTGACTCTTGTCTCTCGAGCCCCTGAGTGGTAACTGTCTGCATGCTCCTTGAGCTTGGTCCTCTTTGTGGCTGTGCCTGCTCCTTGAGCTTGGTCCTCTTCTGCATGTGAGTCCATAGGAGTCCATGGTCTCCATGGAGACTGCACTACGACCATGCTCTCTACTGGTATCAACTAGATCTCCGATACCTGTGCTCCTTCCATATGAACCAGTGACCCTCCTGCTTCTTGAGCATTCAGGCCCATGACATATACCATGTGGAAAGGTTTACAAGTTAGTGAAGAGCCTCTATGGTCTCAAACAGTCTGGACAGGAATGGTACAAGGAAATGGACTCACATCTGTGCCACCTAGGGTTCTTCTTGGTACAAGAAACCCCATGCATATACTCCAAAGGGGCAGGTGAAGAGCAGGTAATCATCATAGTATATGTTGACAATATGCTCATTACTGCCCCTCACAGACATCAGATCAACACAGTGAAACAATCAATCATTGACAAATGGAAAATTGAAGACAACAGGCCAGTGAAGGAGTTCCTCAAGATAAAAATCACATGCAATTGAAAAAAATGGACAATTGACTTGGATCAATGGGCATATATCAAAGACATCATCAGTGAATGGATAGGCCCAGACAACAAAACTTGGGTCCCTATGACTACAACACCAGCCAAAGTGGAGGCAGATATCAAAACCCACAATGACCTCAAGTGTGATTACCCAAAGCTAGTAGGAAAACTCCTTTGGGTATCAACCACTGTACACCCCAACATCTGTTATACAGTAAATATGCTTGCAAGACACATGTCAAAACCTACAGAGGAGGTGATGTGAGCAGTGCTATGTGTCATCAAGTATCTAAATCAGACCCAGGATGATGTCCTGTAAATTGGTGGTAACAACCCCAACAATAATGTCATCAAAGCCTACATGGATGTGAATTGGGCTTCTGATCCCAATACCAATTGGAAGAGTACATTGGGCTCAGTCATCAAGATTTTTGGCAGTGTTGTGACCTGGAATTCACATGTCCAAAAATGTGTTGCCAGTTTGGCTGTAGAAGCCAAATACATTGCTGGTTTGGGAGCCACAAGAGAAGCACTCTTCCACAAGCATCTACTCTGCAGCCTTGGATTTGGAGATCACATGCCTATTGTATTCACTGACAACACCAGATGCATTCAGGTAGTGAATGACCCTGCCTTACATTCAAAACTCAAGCATGTTGATACAAAATATCACCTCATCCATGATCATGTACAAGAAGGGGACATCTCCATAAGGTACAATAACACTGATAGCAACATTGCAGATTTCCTCACCAAACCAGTCTCCAAGACCCTCTTGGCACATACACAAAAACAATTGGGAATGATTAATGTTGGATCATAACATAGCTCAGTCAGTGAGGGGGGGGGGGGAGTTGAAGCATGCAGTGTCTTGGCTATTGAAGCATGCAAATGCAGCCTTTGCCAAGCCCACACATCCAATCACCAACTTCACTCACTTGGACTTAGTGCATTGTCCAGGCTGACTGCCAAACCTCAAGATGCTGGTCATCAGACAGCCAGTGTTTTCCTCCTTGACCTCTTAGTTACTCCCTTACACTCCTGCCCTATCAGCTCTTAGTACCACACATGCATACAAAGAGAATCAAGGCATATATAAACACTTGATTCACCATGTACTTAGAAATGAATCACTATCACAATCAATACTTGTGATCACCGACTTTGACGCACCTTCGATTGATCTCGACAACGCTCTTCAACTAGGACTGACACCTGTTCCCGTGTGACAGCTCTGCGTAGAGGATGAGAGAAACGCGGAAGTCGGATTAGAATTTTTGGTGTGGTTCAGAAGAAATACGCACGATGCTTCAGTCCGTTTCAGCTGTTACCTAACGTTTCCTGTACGATACCAAGCACAGCTTCCTTCGCCGCTGCATCTAGAGTAGCTCCCCATCGACAGCAGGAATGAGTCTTGCAAAACTATGTTGCTCGAGCAAGCTACCAGGCTTGGCCGCAAGTCGAGTGGTCAGCCTTGCGCCTCGTACGACCTTGCTCGCCGGTCGAACAACCCCGACCTCCTTCTCCCGCTCAACGTCACATCTACGTCTTACCTCCTCGCATCTCATCCGCAACTTCACCTCGTCGCCCATATTCCTAGCCGCGGAAAGAGCTGCAGCACCACAAGCAGAAGCTCACCCGATCTCTCTCCTCCGCAACATCTCCATAATCGCACACATCGATGCAGGCAAAACAACCCTAACCGAACGCCTCCTCCATCTTACCAACGCCGTCTCCAGCTCCGGTGCTATTCCAGGCGACGTCGACTCCGGATCTACCGTAACTGATTTCCTCGAACAAGAACGACAGAGGGGGATTACAATCCAGAGTGCTGCTGTTGGGCCTGTTTGGTGGCCTTCCCCCTCCCCCACCCCCTCTTCTGCAGGGAAGAAGAAGAGGGATACGGTTGGGATCACATTGGTAGATACACCAGGACATATCGATTTTGGGATTGAAGTCGAGCGAGCACTACGCGTAGTCGATGGAGCAGTAGTAGTGTTGGATGGTGTAGAAGGGGTTGAATCTCAGACGGAGAATGTGTGGGGGCAGGCTGCGAGGTATGATGTGAAATCGAGCATTCTTTTTGTCAATAAGTTGGATAGGATGGGCAGCTCGGTCGCGCAAAGTTTGAGGAGTGTGATTAGGTCTGGTTTGCATCAGAGGCCATTGTTGTTGCAGTTGCCAGTGCCGGTGGAGGGGAGGAATGAACCGGGGATAAGTGGGGTGGTTGATTTGGTTGAGATGCAAGCCCTAACCTTCTCGGGGAAAGCGGGGGAGGTGGCGAATAGGAGAGAGCTGAAGGTGGGGGAAGAGATGTATGAAGAGGCGAAGGAAGCTAGGCATGCACTGGTGGAATGTCTCGCGTCACTGGATGATGTGTTGTTGGAGGAGTTGTTTGGATTGCCGACGGGGAGTGGGGAAGAACCGCACGGTAAGATGCCTGCTAGCTCGCTGAAGCAGGCAATTAGAAGGCAGACGTTAGCGGGCACGATTTTGCCGGTATTGTGCGGGTCAGCAGCAAAGAATATCGGTGTTCAGCCGCTGTTGGATGCTATTGCTGACTACCTCCCTAGTCCTGCCGACAAAAGCGAAGTTGTCGGCACCGTTACTGGTTCCTCCTCAATCATTTCGAAAGACTCCGCAAAAGGGGAGGAAGCAGGCAGCGCCGGAAAAGAAATTTCAGTCTCGCTCAACGACAAACGAACAACAGCCCTAGCCTTCAAAGTCGTACATGACAAACGTCGAGGACCCACCACTTTCATCCGTGTCTATTCCGGCACCCTCCATCGTTCTTCCGTCTTGTTCAACACAACCACCGGTGCTAGAGAACGCCTCTCCCGTGTCCTCTTCCCCTTTGCAGACCAGTATGTCGAAACAGCTACCATACGCGCAGGTCAAATAGGTGTAATCCTCGGCCTAAGAGACACTCGTACTGGCGATACACTCGTTGATATTTCCTCCACCCCCAACTCGCCCTCCAACTCCAAATCCACCACCAGCAAGCCCCTCGATGCGAACGAATCAAAATCTCTCCGACTTAAAAAAGTTCACATACCACCACCAGTTTTCTCCATGTCACTCGAACCCGCATCCAAATCTGACGTCGATTCTGTATCGGAAGCGCTACACCTCCTTATTCGCACAGACCCCTCGTTGCGGCTGGATGAAGCAGGAGCAAGCGCGGGAACAGGTACGGGTCAGACGGTGCTGAGTGGTATGGGAGAATTGCATTTGGAGATCGCAAAGGATAGGTTGGCGAATGAGTTTGGTGTGAATGCTAGGATGGGGGCTGTTAGGGTAAGTTATAGGGAGACACTGGGTGAGGAGGTCGGTGTTTTGGAGGTGAGGGAGACGGTGGAGAGGGAGTTGGCTGGCAAGAAGATTAAGATTGGGGCAGAGATGAGGGTGAGAGCGTTGGGTGAGGAGTTGGGGAGGGTGAACGATGCTGATGCGATTAGTTTTGGTGGGAATGTGATTAATATTTCGTTCGATTCTGGATCCAACCATGACGGTAACAAGGCAGGTAAGGAGGGTAAGGAGGAGAATGATATAGAGGCATACTTAGCCGACAGCCCACGACAGAGCAAGTCCAAATCTTCCAAAGATTCTTCAACCACCTCTTTGGACAGTAGTAGGCCCGGTATGGACCCAACCACTCTAGCCACAATGTTCAAAACCGGCATGGTCGCTGCTCTCTCCCGTGGCCCTCTAACCTCGAACCCCCTCATGGGTCTCGAAATCTCCATCTCCAACATCGACTTGTACGGCCCAGAACTTTCTTCTTCAGCAGCAATCTCCTACCTCCTCTCCCGCCTTCTCCGTACACTTCTCCGAACCAAACCAAAGCTCAACCCCGATACCGGTCTCCCCTCAGGTCCGGCTGCGGCGAGGACGACGTTAATGGAACCGATGATGTCCACTCGCATCATGGTGCCGGAAGTGCACCTTGGGAAGGTGATCAATGATATCACCTCTGAACAGGGGGGATTGGTGCAGGATGTAATTCACGCTGCTTCAAGTTCGGAGGTTAGTAGAGGAGAGACAGGAGGGAAAGAGGAGGTCTATATCCCGAAATCGAGCAACAGGTTCGAATTGCAATCTTCGGCGGCGAGTTCTGGGGCAAAGGGTAAAAGTGATGGGGGCGAGGGAGGAGGAAAGGCGGAGATCCACGCTGTGGTACCATTGGCGAATCTAGTAAGGTATTCGTCAAAGCTAAGAGCACTCGCGGCGGGAAATGCTCAGTTTAGTATGCAGTTACAGGGATTTGCCAAAGTCTCACCTTCTAGGCAGAGTGAAATTCTTCAAGACTTGGGTCGATAGTTGTTGCATTCGCACCCATGGAAATCTTATGAACCATCCTTCTTTCTGCCCGTCAAACCGCATTCTGCGTGCGCAAGAGTGCGCAAGAGTGAAGAATTGAACGGTTGAAGTCTAAGTTATCATGACGATGCGCTGTTTGCTGAGGACGGGGCAATGTCAACACCATTCACCCTAATCCTATCGCCGTTCTCCATCTTCCCAGCATCCCTCTTGTACCCCTCCAACAGGCCCTTGTTGACTTTACTACCTCCGCAGACTTCCACTACGATGTTCAACTTCCTCTCCTTCTTCCCTTTTAGCCCTTTCGATCTCTCCACCAATTGTTTCAGAATCCAAGGATGAAAAACGGGTGTAAGAGCAGAAGCGCAAGACAATTCGACCATTCTTCCATTTGCATCTTGACTCTCGCTAAACTGCCAACAAGCGCTTGCACTGAGTTCATCTGCCACCGTAAGCGTCGTTACTCCTCCCGCGCCAGCATTGCTGTTGTAGTGGATCGCATCGTGTACGGTGGCAAGAGAGCATTTCTTAGTGCCCATACTTGTACACTTACTCGCAATCCTCTCTAGCGCCACTACATCTTTAGGTAGTTCCGCCCCAGGTTCCGAGGGGGATGCATCGAGGGAAAGATTGAAGCTGTTTACTCCAAAGTTCTGCACCGCAACCAAAGTAGGTTTTGTCCCTTTCTGCCTATTGACGCCCTTGATGATCCCACGGAGCAAACCTCCCCCGCCGGTCGAACAGATAATCGCATCAACTTCCCCCTCCCAACCTTGCTCTGCGAACTGATCGTAAATCTCATCCACCAATCCACTATGACCTTCGACCAGCTCGTTTCCGATAAAAGGATGAACATAAACTCCACCTTTCCCTTTCAACTTCTCCGCTAGCCCTCTAGCTCCATTGTCAGCTTGATCCCATGAATCCCCGCCCACAACAACCTCTGCTCCCATCCCTCTCAATTTCTCCACTACATCTGGTTCAGTACTACTCGGAACAAAGATAGTACTTTGTACCCCAGCACGAGAAGCAGCGTATGCGACGGCTAACCCAGCATTGCCCCCGGAAGAAGTTACAAGGCGAGTATTGGATGTACCGTATTGAGCAACGGCAGATTGGCAGATTTTTCCAATTCCACGGATCTTGAATGAGCCCGAGGGTTGGTCGCAATCAAGTTTTAGGTAGATGTTGTGGTCGGTGAGGGAAGAGAGGAAGGAGGAGTGGATAAGGGCAGTCTTGGCGTGGAGTGGAGTGGTAGTGGGTGAAGAAGCCGTTGGGATGTCGCCTGTGGGAGGGAAGACTGTTCCTGGTTCGAATGAGATGGTCATTATTGCTGTATCTATCTATGGAGCCTGGTCTAAGGAGTGAGATGTTGCACGAAGCAGTCAGTAGTAAAGGATTGAGGGAGAGATGGAAGCCGGGCTTGACCTTATATGGTGTTGAGGAAAGCAGCTCAGAAGGAATGGGAGGGGGGGGTGGACGACCACATGCACTTCTGACTACAGGGTGGCTCCCAGGCTAGTCAACTGTTCGGCGAATTTTCTCCAGTCTTCCTCCTTGGCCCCCCGCGTTTTCGTTCAGGGTCTGACCGACCGGCTGTCCACGGTGACGTTTCTTCCCGCGGATACACCAATCATCCGGCTATACACACTCACACCCGAGTCACAATACAATAGCATCACAAAGAACAACATAGAATTGCTATTGCGGGGTCAGAACCTTCTCATCATTCCTAACCTCCTTTTCCCTCCCCTGCTGCTATTGCCGTTCCTCCCGCCGTCATTGGTCAAGTGAGACTCGTCCAGTACGATAGGTGAACCTCGCCACCCCCCACCACTACCCTCGCCTGAGGCGGGCAGAATCCCAAGGATCGAATTGATACTTTGCGAATGAGCTTGTTGGAAACTATTCAGGTCAGCGCGCGGACGGGGAGCTGTTCCATCTTCGCGTGCGAGGGCGACTGAGTCTTCAGGCCGAGCACGGAGACGTACTGCGTCTGTGAAAGAGGGTGGAGCTGGTGGTTGTTGTCGGGAGGGGGGGATTAGAGGTTGTTTCTGTCGTCCACCTAGGGTTGAGGGGCGGTTTGAGGATGCACCGAATCCTTGGCCTGGCCTAGTGGTGCCCTTTCCACCACCACCTGCGCTGCTGCTGAGGGAAGAAGCTCGCTGAAACCCTGAAAAAGCAGGTGGCGGGGAAGCATCCTCGTCAACAGCAGAAGAAAAGCTGCCCAAAGTCGGAGGAACAAGTCCCAGCACCCGCTTAACCTCTTCTGTACTTTGCTGGTTCCCACCACCTGAGCCACGAGCAAACGCATTGACAGGCCGCAAAGCATCATCGCTATACAACCCAAAACCCATCGACGAATTCCATTCCCCCGTCGCGCCACTATGAACCCCAACAGCGGTGTATCCTCCTTGACCACCATAGCTCGCATACGTACCGAAGCCTGTGATCCGAGCCGAATTCATCTGATCTACATCCTTCACTTCTCTCGCTGCTGTCTTTTCCCATTCCGTCACCGCTTTCTTAATCTGATCCTCACTCGGTAATTGCTTTCCTGTAACCTTCGCCAACGTACCAACCGCATTGGCATCGAGCTCGGGCCGAGTGGCACAGAACTTGATCGCCTTTTTCGCATCACAATTCCCTCCATTCTGCTTAGATGCCACGCTAGCAACAAAGTTGCTAAGAATCTTGTCTTGCGTTTCACCACCCATCATACGCGCGGTGGCGTGGGTGAGGTAGAGCAGGCTTTCGGCTCGAGTCATTGCGACGTAGAGGAGTCGACGTTCTTCTGCGATCTCGTCGGGTTTTTGGCATCGGAAGGAAGGGAAACAGCCTTCTTCGATGGCAGGGATGAAGACGACGGGCCATTCGAGGCCTTTGGCTGCGTGACAGGTGGAGAGGGTGACTTTGGGACGTTTCTTCTCGGATTCAGGGTCCTTGTCGGCGTCCATGTCGGTGGCTAGGATCGAGGCTTCGAGGAAGACGCGGAGGGGTGTTTTACGTTCGTCGTCTTCGGCTTTGTCGTCGTTAGAGCCATTGTCGCTGTTCTTGGCAATAGAGTCTGGCTCCTCCAATACTTGGTCGAGCTTTTCGAGTAGAGATGGCTTCTGTACGTTTTCCTTGTTGTCCGACTGATCTGCAATGGGAGAGTCTGGCTCCTCTTTGGCTGTACGGGCTTTCTTGCATGGACTCGTCTTGACTTGAGGTTCGAGCCCCTGACTCTCATCTGAGTCGCACAAATCAATCACCTCCCGTTTTGCAGGTGCGCTCTTTTGCACCGCAGACTTGCCCGAACCCCGCCTGTTGAAAAAAGGATGTGTTGAAGGCGTAGAAGAGCTTCGGCGAGCCTCCTTCTTGGCAGGTGCCGGCTTGATATCCACCTCTTCAAAGTCATCGTCGTCGTCCTCCCCCTCCTCCTCCTCCTCCTCCTCATCATCATCATCATCACTCTCTCCTTGTTTACTCTTGACTTCAGCTGCTCCCTCCTGATTTGACAGCGTATGCGATAGGATCTCCTCGATCGGAACTTTTGGGGCGTTTTCGTCCGGATGCGGTACGTTTTGCGCAACGATAGTCGAGAATGAGATCAGCTCCTGCACGTTGCCCCACCTCGCTTCATGGTCCTGCAGGGATTGCGCTTTTAGATAGTTCTCGTAGTCGATCTTCTCAATCAGCAGCTCGATTAACTTCGAAACGGGTGTGTCTTCCTTTGCTGCCTCCCGAACGGCTTCAACAGCATCGACGAATTCTGTAAGTCCTTTCTTGATGGCCGGTTTGATCCCTGGGTTCTTGCCACCTCTTACAACTCGCTCGACCAGCTCCATCGGCTTGCATCCCTCCGTTTTGGCCATGTTGAGCATGTCATTAACGCTCTTCTCTCCGATACCTCGCTTGGGTACGTTCACCACACGTACGAAAGCAGGCGTGAAACCAGGATTGTCTGCTAAAGCTAGGTAAGCCAGCAAATCTTTGACTTCCATTCGGTCAAAGAACTTGTGTCCGCCCATCATTCTCGACTCGATACCCCTGGCCTGTAGCTCGGCTTCAATGGCTCGAGAAAGATAGTTGAATCGTAGCAGAATGACAACGTCGTTGTAGTTGAGCATGTTGCCCGAATGAGCAATGACGCGCTTGATCTCGGAAGCGATGTATGCAGCTTCGAGTTGTGCTGATCCATGGCATTTGAGCACAACGGGCAGCCCTCGAGGATGCGAAGTGTACAGACCCTTGTCCACACGCGAAACATCTTGCTGAACGACTTTGAGTGCAAGTTCAAGGATTGCGCCTGTACTGCGGTAGTTCTCTTCCAAGCGAGCTTGCTGCGTACCTTTGAACTCTTTGGTCATCTTATCCAGGTTGCCGATCTCTGCACTGCGCCAGCCATAGATACTCTGATCTGGATCGCCGACGATACTGACAGCTTGCGACGATGCTGCGACCAATCGCATGAGCTCGTACTGTGTAATGTTGGTATCTTGAAACTCGTCGACGAGGACATGCCGAATGTTGCGCACGACCTGATTCTGGCGCCGGAAGAGCTGGACTCCGTACACAAGCAGATCATCGAAGTCTAATGCATTCGCCTCGACCAGCTGCGACTGATACATGGTATATATTGTCGCCATGATCTGCTTGAAAGGGGCTGAGCCGGTCAACTGTCTGCCAATAGCAGTCTTGCTAGCTTTGCCCTTTGCCGCTTCGGCATCAGCAAGCTCCTTGTACCTGGCAGGATCGATCTCCTTGGCTTTGGCTTTCGAGATCTCGGATGTGCATTGTTCAGGCTTGATCTGCATATGTTCCTTATCGAGTTCGGGCTTGAGCTCTTTGAGAATAGCTTTGAACATTCGCTTGGCGTCGTCCGAGTCGATGATGGTGAAGTTGTTCGGCAAAGAGATGAGGCGGCCGTACTTGCGCAAGTACCTAGCACAGACCGAGTGGAAGGTGCCAATGACGAGGTTATCGACTCGTTCCTTGCCGATGAGGCAGATGAGTCGCTGTTTCATCTCGTTGGCTGCTTTGTTGGTGAAGGTAACAACGACAATGTCTTCTGGTTTGAGCTGGTTGGTAGGGTCGAGAACGAGCCAGGCAACCCTGGAGGTGAGCACGCGCGTCTTGCCCGAGCCAGGACCTGCTAGGATTTGCAGACATGATGACTGTGGATGTGTTGCGGCGACTAGCTGTGATTTGGAGAGTGCGCCAAGGTAAGCTGGTAGTTTGCTCGCTTCAGTTGATACGGAGCCGGAAGCATGATTGCTGCTGTTGCTCGATTGAGATGGTGTTCTCTTTGTCGAAGAGGCTGAGTCGGTAGCGCTAGGAACCATGGTGGCAAGCTCAGCAATCGTCGACAATCCTCGCAGTCGAAGGGCGACCTCCTCGGGAGATCCGATGAAGCTGAGTCGGCGGTGTTCCGTTTCGAGGACGAGTGTCGTCTCTTTGAGAGATCACCTAGGTGGCGGGACTTGCTGTGACCGCATTGGGCGTGCCTTTATGTTAAGAGCTGTTCGAAAAAGGCGAGGGCCCTTGGACGAGATTGTCGCTTGTAGAAACGTTGTTGATGATGATGATGATGATGATGATGATGAATACCATGTCACAGTCCAATCCTCGAGCAAAGTTGTTTGTATGTGTGCACTTTCACGCCATCCCAGCTTGACTCGCACGGCCGCGCAAGTGAGGATCAGTCGGACGATACAGAAACCGATACAGAAGTGATGTTAGATTGCGGGTCAGCGAGGTGGCTCGCTGGCTCAAAGGCTTCCCGGCCGATCGAGCGCAGAGACGAGCGGGTCATACAGGCGGAACGTAAGGGCGGGAATCGGGCGGGAAAAGAAAGATTGGCAAGGTCGATGTTGAAGCAACACTTGCCGAAATGAGAAGATGATGGTGGGACGGGAAAGGAGTAAGGAGCAAACAATGCCGATTGAGCGGGTTGCGACGCGTGTAATCCAGCTCAGGTGCGCACGCCAAGTCACATGCAACACTTCCCCCACGCGTAACGCCAAGGAGACGTCAGCGCGCAAAGTGTCACTTGAGTGAAATCACATGACCGCGTACTCATGCTCTAACACGACCGCAAACCTCACTCAGCATCGCCACCCGTCAGCACCCACCAACGCCCCTATCTCATCCGACAACGGCACACCCTCATACGTGTCACCTCATCCACATACACCCACATCGACTGACAGTAGAGGCATATATATACTCCTGATATTGCTTTGTACTTAGTTCTCTCCTAATGCTAACGAGTTTCGCCACTTGCTTGACCGCCCCTGATTGTGCTTTTGTGACGCCTGGGTACTCTCTCGCGCGAATACTAGCCGCACGAGAATACTCAATCGGTTTCCACTCGCGCGAATACTCGTCGCGCAGGAAAGTTCGATACCTTGCTGAAAGTTCGATACCTATCTTGCAAATCTTTGCTCAGACGACCTTATACGACCTTGCTTGTACTAATCTAGATCTCCTCTCTCTGCAATCCATCTAGTTACACCATTACACCGCACATACAGCTTGCGCACGTAATAACGTAACAGCTTTCCTCAACAACTTGGTCCCTTTCGCAAGCAGGAGCTTTCAGAGTCAGGCTCATCAAACGACTGCAAGCTCTGATTGTGGCAACGCCTGTCGACATCTTGGCTGAAACTCTCTCGCATGGTGCAATCAAGCTCGAGATATGCTCTTTTAGGGGCAACGAAAGGTGGGTCTTGTGGGTTATTGAAGCTCATTTGCGTGGAAACATGGCGCCACGCGCCAACCCTCATGACTATCCATGGCACGGCCCGAGCTTGGCGGGAGACGACCTCAGACATCCTTGGTCTCCAGCTCGTCGAACCCATGCAGTGCTGAGCATGTGTGAGCATCTCTATCACTGTTGGTGGGCAGATCTCATATTTTCCACCGACCCACTGAAAAGCTGTGCTTTGATCCGCAGAGCGACTTTGATTGATGAGCACGAGCGATGCTCGTTTCTTCCATGACGCTGAAAGCATTTCGATGTCACGGTAGACATATAAGGGAGAGCGCAGTTCCTCCAGTCGGAGCCTGTTGGTCATCTCTTCTCACGCAACGACGGACAGTCTCCTTCAAACAACTCCTCGGACAAGATGGCAAACTTCTTCCTTCTCCTCCCCCTCGTGGCATCAGCCATCTCCCTTTCCTCCGCCAACCCGATCCAACCCTGGGCTTTCTGGAAGCAGACCAAGGACAGCCCCTCTCACCACTCTGGCGGTCTGGGTTCTTCCGTTAAAGGCCACTTCCCCGCCATGTCCTCTCACCAGATCGGCCTGGGATGTGGTGTTAACTGGGGAAAAGGTAAACTGCACGCCGGTTTCGATGGCGGTGACAAATTTTCCGGCGTTGGTGGTGGGTTCAACTGGGGGCCTAACTCCCTCTCCGGCGTCATTGGTCTTAATTATAATGGTGAGAAGGTCAACCTTAACCTTACCATTACGGACACCAAACAGGTGTTGTTCAATGTGAACGGTAAAGATTTGGACTGGAGAAAAGTGTCCGAGGCGGAGTTAAAGCCAGAGGGCAAATATGCTAAGACGGTTGAGCGTCATATGTACCATGTGAATTAAGCTGCTGTATCTTTCTCTCTTCGTCGCGATCATTCGTTCTACAGCTCTCTTCACATTTTATTTTTTTTCCGTCAATTCAGTCTTTCACTCTTTTCTTTTGCTTCTTCGTCCGCCTGTTTGAGTTCGATTACGTTGCTGTGTTCGGATTTGGGAAAAGAATGATATCGATGGCAAAGAAAAGAAACCAACACGTAGCGACAGCTACAAGAACGAAAAAATCAGATACTCTTACTCAACGCATCACCTCCACTCGAACCATCGCTGAGACGAGGCGACCTAGTCTCATCCATCACACTAGCAGAAGCACTTTCATCTGTCCCGACACTCTTTTCACCCCCTCCTCCTGCACCGACCCCAGCACCACTCCCTCCAACTCCAGTTCCACTACTTCCAGCAACACCCCCAGCATCCCCGGCACCAACCCCTTGCCTCTCCGGTTTCGGCGGAGCATCTACCACCTTTCCACCAATCACTGGCGGTTTCGCCCCCTGTCTAAGATTTCCCTCTGCGTCATAAATCATTCCAGGCCAAGTTTGTCCCGCTTTTGCAAACTTTTTCTCCTGGTCCTGGATCAACTTTGTCGCATGGGCACGTAGCATTTCTCGAGATTGTTTGTAGTATTCAGCTTGGATTTGAGAGTTATAGTAGGACTTCTGTAAGTTGTAATTGGTTTGGATTCCAAGGTAGGATATCAGGGTGGGGATAGCGAGGAGGGAACCGAAAAAGCCCATGTATTCGATGTCGCCTGGTCTTCCTGCTAATCCTCGCTTTGCCACTGTTTTAGGATGCGAAGAGGCGGGTGGTCTATGGATGTGATTGGACCGCATGGGATCGGGTGTGTTTGATGCAGCGTGGGCAAAAGTCGCAACTGCGAGTGTGAAGAGTAAAAAACGAGCGAGAGACAAAAATACGATCATGTTGGCTGAGAAGGGGTCAACCACTGGCTGAACCAACAGGAGCAAGAAAAGGGGACGTGGAGTGAAGAATATGGTGGTTAAAGTGCGAACAGAGCACAACAGGTGTTGGTACCGCTGTCTCACTTTCATCCAAGCAGCTCGCTTCAGGATCCGTACCAGCCCACTTCCACCAGTTGCCACACAGGATGACAATCGTTGGATTGCATGGGCTGGCTTTGTCTACCACACTCACTTCATTTGAGATCAGGACAGCATCTGTTCTCGGAAATCCGGATCGCATTCCTCAGAGTCAACTCTATACACCGATCCTCTCAACCTTTGAAGGTCCAGCATTCGCGGACTGCAGCTAGCCTCCGTGAACCTTACCTTCCTTCTCATTATTGAGATCGGACAGGACGGCCAACACAGACAGACCACAGGAAGCAAGAATATAAGTATGATATGATGACGCCAGCGTTTGTGTGCATCTTGAGTTTGATAGAACTCTTTGCGTATGTATTGAAAGCTAAGAGTGACGCCAACAGAGGTGGGCTTTTTCCCCTTCTGGGCTTACTATGCGGAGTGTGTCTTTGTGTGAGTAAGGTACAACAATGACATGCGGACGCATTATGGTGGGTGTCGTGGATGTTTTGGATGGTTTGGGCGATATTGATCGCTCAAACGGGCTGTGCAAACGCTTGAGGAGGGATAGCATTGCTCGCCTCCAAACTTTGAAAGTTCGTAAAGGCCAGATTGTAGTCCCAACCATTCTCTTGAAGACATTGTACTGCGAAAGGATAGATAAGACCGGTTTGAGTAGCTAATTGCAACGACATGGCGTGTTGTTGTTCGTTGATCCCTGCTGCTGGAGCTTGGTTTTGCAGGTGAGGAGGTAGAGCTGCGCCGTTGGCGCCGACAGGAGCAGCAGCAACAGGTGCTGCGGCTGAAATACCGGGCTGTGGTTGAACTGCTCCTCCTGGCTGCTGCTGTTGTTGTGCTGCTTGCAAAGCCTGCGTCTGTTCGGCTGTGACCTCGCCTGTAGGCAAGCTGTCGGGTGCCCACGCGGAAGGGCTCGAGTAGTGGCGTACAACAAGCTGATCTGAAAGGATGACACAAGGCCAGCCAGCTGCAGCAGCAGGACTGTCAGGTGGTGTAGGTGCTACTGTGAATAATCGGTCAAACGAACGAATGCCCTGGCTTGGAGCTTCAGCGTATTCGCCATGGACGTTGATGAACAACAACGCCTCCGGCCGCTCCTCTCCCTTCAGCCTAGCCCCGATCGCATTGTTAGGCAAGACCCAGGCATCGACAATGAACTTGGACGCATCATTAAGTGGATGTGAAGTCTTGGGCAGTCGCTTCAGACAAGCAAGAATGGAGCCAGCTCCATGGTGCAATGACTGATGGCGCACTTTGGGCGTACGGATGCGCATCAAGTTGCGGTTGCCGTTGTCCTGGTAGCGATCGAAATTGAGCTCCTTTTGATGAGGCATAGTATGAAGGAAGCCAGCAGCACGAGCCCGGGGAGGTGGAACGACGTTGAGACAGAATGAGAACTGTGCCAGTGGTGCATATGCCTCGGTAAGCTGACTTCGATCCGTGTCGTAAAGCATGAAGAACTTGGAGAGGAAGCTGGGCATGATGGCACCTGCGTCGGCGTCGACAAAGCCCGGCTTGTTTGGGACGGGGAAGTTTCGCAATGGCACTTGTGCTGCATCGGCATCCATCTTCTTGGACTTGCCCGTTGTTGGCAAATTTGCGAAGGCCGATTCGGTTGGTGTAACAGGTTTCTGGTCGAGCATGGTCAGTGTGCGGAATTTGGAGAGCACCTCCTGACGGTAGCCTTCTTCGTTGCCCGCTGCAATGGCACTTGCATGAACAGGGTTGCCAGTCAGCAAGAGCTCTTTGAGGTTGGTCAACTTGCTCTTTCTTGCTGCGAATGTATCGAGATCTTTGGTCCATCTAAGCTCATTGCCTTCGAGCGAGAGGTTCTGAAGGTTGGGAAAGTATGCGGGCAATGAGCTGACAGGACCCAAGCTGCGAAGATCGTTGTTGGCCAGAGAGATGGTTACTACGTCGGGATAGGTCTCTGAGCAGAGTTTCCAGATGACGTTGCCGAGTTCCTTTGGAGAGCCTGTGACGCCTGGTGGCTTAATGCCTTCAGCTTGAAGGATTGGGTCTGCGCGCATGTTCTGTTGGGAGAAGAGGGTTTAGGTGAAGCACATTTGGTCAGAATCAAGGTCAGATGTCTGTGCTGAGGCGGATGAGAGAGTGAGTCGGGTTTGTGGTACCTACTTCGAGATTCAAGAACTTGGCTTGAGGATTCCAGCGTGATTGGAGGAAGCGCTTGATGAGTGAAACGACGTTCTGAGTTTTAGGCATATCATTGCCGGCATAGATGATGCCTCCTCCGCCGGGTATACGGCCACCTCCTTGCGCCTTTGATGATGAGATGCTTTTGAGAACGGATGCGGCGTTACCGGCTCGGAGACCATCGTTGACATTGATAGCAGCCTTCTTGCCTTTTGTTGGTGGACGGTTGCCCATTGGATTTACACGCTGTCGTGCGATTCGACCTTGGAGTGAATTGCCATTCTATCGTTGAGGGGAAGCAAAAAGAGAACGAGAAAAGGTAGGGTCGGTGAGATGGAAGACGAGTGGTGCGAGGCGCGAATCGGTCAAAGACGGGCGATCAGTTTCGAGTTCGATATGTATGTAGTGGAATCTGGTGTGTCGTTCGCGGGCAAGTGGCCAGCGGTTCGAGTCGGTGACTTCCGCCAGGACGCGTTCGAGCTGATGCGAGCTAGTGGCAGCTCTGCGCTGGATGAGTTTCCGAGGCTATGAGCGTCGAATGACTTACGATATCGGATGGATCTGCTCCGGTGTTTCTTCCGCCTCTTCTTCCAGCGGCACCTCCGGCTCGACTCCTACTTGGGCCTGCAGCGCCACGCATACCAACATCGCCATCTACCACGAGACCTGCATTGCGCAGCGCAGCACCGGCGATGGTGTGACCACCATGGCCTCCTCCTCGAGGCATTTCGTGTTGTAATCTAAGTGGAGAGAAGCTGTTGTGTGCAACGAGGAGAAGCGATACTTGCAGTGTACTAGGCGAGCGCGTTGGTATCGGTCGTGGAAAGTATGACGAGGGATGCGGACGTGGCGGATGGCTGAGTCGAAGAGGTTTCGTGAGCAAGTGAAAGCTGCAGTCTTTGAATTTACTGCAATGATCAAGGCTGAAAATGGAAGCGAGATGGAGCGGAAGAAGCCTGTGTGAAGCGGAAAGAGACGTTCGGATCCTGGTATGACGATGCTGAGAGATTTTTGCGGAAAAGAAGAGGTGATAGAGGTTGTGGATGAAGGATGAGATGGTGTTGGTCGAGAAGCAAAACGGACTTGGAACTCGATCCGATTGATCAATTGCTCAGTTCAACTTTTTCCGACCCTGGGAGGCACAACAGCCAATCTAACATTCTTCACACAAAGGTGCAGCTTAGATTTCTCTGTCTTTTTTCGGCAAGCAATTCTTTTTTTTTTTTTTTTTTTTTTTTTTTTGTTTTTAACTCTTACCTGACTGCAGCTCACAGAGTTCTTCCAAGCCGCTCTTTCGAGGCACTGTTTCCTGCAGATGCTCACCAAGTAAACAACCACACAGGCAGACTCTAGCTGAACAGGAAAGCTTGATAGCCGATGGATATATGAATGGCGACTAGAATACAATGGTTGGAAAATGCAAAGACATTGAGGTTGGAGAGAGAGCAGGGACTTCACTTGGTAAAGATGCTAACCACATCGTCGGCTGCGACAACGTGATTGAGACCCACTTTCTGTGAAGTCGGGAACTTGCTGCTCTTGCCGTAAACGAGCGCATATTTGAACTTTTCTGCAAGCGCTCTGTGTACCTGGTGACAGACGTGCTCGATGGTGGCACCTCTGCGCACACACAGGGGGTCCGAAAGGTCGGGCCTCTCTCCTCGCTTCTTGGTGTAGATACGGTTGATGCCGAGCTTGTCCCAGATGACATCCTTCAGGTAGTCGATGTTGAGGTCCTTTTCGACCGAGATGACGACCGAGCTGGGCTGTCTTGCGAGCTTGTCCATCTGCTCCATGCTGATCGAGTCGATCTTGTTGTACACGTAAAGACATGGGATGTAGTTGCGGTTGCCGAGAACGACATCGATGAACTCGTCCACAGTGATATCCTCCCTGAGCATTACGTCGACGTTGTGCATTTTGTAGCCCTGCAAGATGGATCGAATCATCTTTTCATCGATCTTGGTCAATGTGAGACCCATTGCTTTGGTGATGACGATACCGCCGGTGTTCTTCTTGCGCAGGACAACGTCAGGCTTTGTCTTGTTGAGACGAATGCCGACCGCCTCGAGTTCCTTTTCGAGAAGAGCGCGATGCGTCTCTGGCTTGGTTGCGTCGAGCATGATGATGACCATGTCCGCTGTCTTGGCCACGGCAACGACTTGTCGACCACGACCCTTGCCCTCGGAAGCTCCCTCGATGATACCTGGCAAATCAAGGATCTGGATCTTGGCACCTTCGTACTCGAGCACACCTGGTTGACACGTGAGGGTTGTGAATTCATACGCAGCAGCTTCGGACTTGGTATCAGTGACTTTGGAGAGGAAACTTGACTTTCCCACCGAGGGGAAACCGATGAGAGCGACACGAGCATCGCCGGATTTCATGACGTCGAAACCCTCACCGGGCTTGCCTGACTTCTTTTGAGGTTCGAGCAGCTCATGGCGAAGCTTGGCGATCTTTGCTCGGAGCTGTCCCAAGTGGTATCTGGCCAGATGAGATCAGGGAGAGAAAGAATGTCAAGTCAGCAAGGGATGCACCTTGGATGCGTGCCGCTGACAAGGTCGACGGAGATGATACTTACTCTGTCGCCTTGTTCTTCTGGGTCCTGGCGACCTCATCTTCGAGCTCCTTGATCTTTTCGACGGCACCCATGGTTGCGTTGCGAGTGTTGTGTGTGTGTGTGTGTGTGTGTGTGTGTGTGTGTGTGTGTGTGTGTTCGGCTATCAGTGTAGTAGGGCGTTGGAGATGTTGTCAGAAGCCGAGAGGATAAAATGTGGCTGGAGCGCATCTCAAGAAAGTTCTCAAGACCCAAATTTGAGTAAATGTTAGAGGCGATTTTGGAAGGGGTCACTGTTAGGCCGACACAAACATTGCTTTTCCTTTGACACGTGACCGCTTCAGTCAGCTTGAGCCAGGCTGAAGAACAACACACCACCGCGAGACTGCCGCTCAAACCTCTTTGGGATCTTGTCCGGGATAGCTTGGTTGCATGTAGGACATCCTGTCGAGCCCGCAAAGCAGCAACAAGGCGATCAAGGGGTGGCAGTTGAGCAGAGGCGGAAGCTGAAAAGGGCGACTCTTGTGTTGGTTGATTCTCAGGCGGGAAAAATAAAATGAAAAATACACACACGCAACTCAGCTGGGCAGCTATTGGTCGACACAACACAGACACACTCTCGCACACTCTCGCACTCGAACCATACACAGAATAACGCTCATCGCAACACCGTCACAGTTTGTTTCTCTTCTCCCACCATATCTCGCCGTGGATGTCGCGCATCCCGCTTCCCGTCCGTGAGGAAAGATCTCCTAGCCCCTTGCAACCTTCTAGCAACTTACCACGATCCACATTCATGTCCCAGATGAGCAGCACCAGCAGCTTCCGCGATGCTACCGATACGCGCAAGCGTCAGTCCAAGCGCGACGAAGCTATCCGCAAGAAGATCGAAGGCGAGTTGCAACGCAAATCCGGCAAACCTTCTACTCCTATCTCGTCTCGGCGTACCAACAAGCACACCGCTAGGCCTCCCGCTGCCGCTGCCGGTACCGTCTCCGCTCTTCGACCTTTGCCTGCCCTGACTGTTCCTCAATCCATTAGTGTTGCTGATGCCAGTCAACTTTGTGCTGCCAAGCGCACCGACTGTGTGCTTGTCGTCGATGAAGACGAGCATCTCGCTGGTATCTTCACCGCAAAGGATCTTGCTTTCCGTGTTGTCTCGGCTGGACTCGATGCAAGGAACACCCCCGTATCTGCTATAATGACTCGCTCGCCCATGGTCACTCGCGACACCACCTCGGCCACTGAAGCTCTCAACACGATGGTCACCCGTGGTTTCCGTCACTTGCCCGTCTGCAACGAAGACGGTGACGTCGTTGGTCTCCTCGATATCGCCAAGGTCTTCTACGAAGCTCTCGAAAAGCTCGAGCGCGCCCACGGCTCTTCACAGAAACTCTACAACGCCCTTGAAGGTGTTCAGAGCGAATGGGGTGGCTCTGCTGGTCCTCAGCAGGCTATGCTTCAGTACATCGAGGCTCTGCGTCAGAAGATGAGCATCCCTGATCTTTCTTCCATTCTCGACTCGCGTACACTTCCTTGCTGCATCGGTGTCCGCACCACTGTCCGCGAAGCAGCTCGTCTCATGAAGGAGCACCACACCACCGCTGTTTGCGTCATGGAGTCCACCGGCACAGGCCCTGGAACCGGCCAGATTGGTGGCGGCGGTGCCGTTTCAGGCAAGATCGCCGGTATCTTCACTTCCAAAGATGTCGTTCTGCGTGTCATTGCTGCCGGTCTCGACCCAAAGACCTGTTCTGTGGTTCGCGTTATGACTCCTCATCCCGACACAGCCCTTCCTTCGCTCACCATCCAAGAAGCTCTCCGAAAGATGCACGATGGTCGATACCTCAACCTTCCCGTCGTTGACGTTGACAGCCGTCTTGTTGGTATTGTCGATGTGCTGAAACTTACCTACGCTACACTGGAACAGATCAACAGCATGAACGACGAACAAGGTGGAGCTGACGGTGGTGCAGCTGGTGGTCCCATGTGGAACCGATTCTGGAACTCGTTCGGTCAGTCCAATTCTATCGCTGGTGATGACGAATCTGCTGTCTCAGGAAGCATGCGTCATTCCGAGAGCCAGTTCGAACCTCCTCCCACGCCAAGCAAGGTTGGTGCTGGAATTGCCGACATTTCTTCGGATCTGCACCCTAACGACTCCGCCAGTGCTGTTGGTCAGCCAGTCAACGGAGACGATGGTGCCAGTGCTATCGGTCTTCCTTCTTCAGCGGCTGCTGTCGAGGCCGATGATGGAACCTACTTGTTCAAGTTTGTCACACCTTCCGGAAGGACTCATCGATTCCAAGCGCGTTACGACAGCTACGAGACCATCCGTGAGATTGTCTGCATCAAACTTGGCGGGGATCCCTTCTTCGAGCCTGCCCCTGCATCTTGCACCGTCGCTGCACCTGCTGCTACAGGGAAGGGAGAAGCAAATGGCGATGCCCACCCGCACCAGGTCCCCTCCAATGCTGCCGCAGAGCTTCCAGATCCTAACGACTTCCAACTAGCTTACACGGATGACGAAGACGATGTAGTCCTCATCACAGCAGATGGCGATGTTCAAGACGCAGTCAAAGTTGCGCGTAAACAAGGCCGAGACCGAGTCGTGCTTCTTCTACAAGGCGGAAGAGGATGGGAAGAAGCTTCTGCCGCCCGTGCTAGCTCTTCTGCTGTTGCTCAATCCAACTCCGCACAAGCCGGCTCAGCGGCGGCGAGAAAGAGGAGGGAAGCAGTCGAAGCTCAACTGCAAAGCGTCGCTGAAGAAGAAGATCAGGAACCAACCAAGACTGATAATGAGGAGGAGAAGAAATCTACTCCTGCACGCAAGAGGAAACCCAAGGCAGGCGAGGAGGAGTTGCTTTTTGGAGTGTTGCCAAAAGATCTTGCGCTCCCAGCAGCGATCGGGTTCTTGGGTGTCGCAGTGCTGGCTGCTGTTGCAATTACTAAGAGCGGCGGGGGTAATGCTCGCTAATTATTTGCTGTTGTACAGCGTTGCGATCACTAATCACCACCACTTATCAAGTTCTCGGGTATAGTCAAGAGGTCCGATGCGTTTTGGGTGAGATCCTCCCGTTCGCTCCCTCTCAAACTATTGTTTATGTACGCCATTCATTGGTGAAGTGACATTCTCTCGCTCGTTTCTTGTTCTCGAAACGATCTGTGGTCCTGGTAGTAGCCTGTGACCTCAAAAACTTTTACAGAATCATTCTTGAAGGCCGGTTTGTGAGACTCATGTCAGTCGAAGACAGCCAGAAGAAACGATTCGTGCATCATAGAATTACAATAAAGATACAAGCAAAGCAAGAACGAGCACTAAGATCGTCTAGCTAGAATTGAAAGCGTTAGTGACAATGTGAGGTTTATCGTCTGTTGGAAGGATACAAGTGTCTAGCTCTCCTATCGATCACCGCTTCTACGTTTGCCGTAAACCTCCCATGCGCCTCCTCTGCGCCACTAGATGCTGCTGGAAACGGAGAGGACACAGAAACTTCCCTTCCCCCTCCCCCTCCTCCTTTCCCTCCCACCACCGCCGCAGGAGGACCTTCAGTAGGAGGTTCAACAGTCCCCAGCAAGGCAGCTTGACTGAAAACCCAATCCCATAAGCTGTTCTGCCCCGCAGCTGCACCCTGTGGTTGCGAGTCGGGGGGAGACGGTTCAGCCCAAGGTCTCAAGGAATGCTGATATGGCCTTGTCCTCCTATCTTGCATATATGGCTCTCCTGGGTATACTCCATTCGTCGAAAAGTCCAGCGGTGAGTTGAAACTCGAAATGATCCCAGTAGGATCTATAGGATCGCTCCAAGTGATGCCCCAAGAAGAAGCAAAACTCGGAACCACACTCTCGTCGGGTGTCTTATCCCAGAGAGTGCTGGCGGAGATGCCGTTTGCACTTGGATCGGAGAGAGGAGTGGCAACGTCTCCGAGCTCAGAGCTGTGAGCAAGAATTCTACGAGTCAACGAGGCCAGATCAAGTGGCCGCCTTTGTGCTTTTTCTCCCCAACGATGCTGTTCGGCATCCCACTGCTTTTGCTCCTCGGCAAGCAAAATCTCGATGGTCCTACTGCCACGATCCGACCCCGGCGTCTCACGCATTGTCGTCAAGGCCAGATTGACTTTATCACGCCTTCTCTCCCTCGTTTCCGCATCCACGCCCTCATGCAACAACAATGAAATGGTCAACGTCAACGTCGCACCAAATAGATGCAAAAAGTTAACCCAGAACCCGTCAATGACAGGACAAACACTCCTTAACAACTTCTGCGTGGAAACTATCTGCTCTGCTAACAAGGTACACGTCGCTCCCTCGCTGTATGACGACAGACTCTTCCGATTGAGCTTGAGCAGAATATCAAACGCCTGTTGATGCAATAAACACCTCTGAACAACAAGCACGTCTGGCCGCATCTCGCTGCTATCCAGCCTGTAAAAGGGAGGTAGATCGCTGAGGAAGGACTCGAGCTTGACGTGCAAAAGCTTCTTATTGTTGGGCGAGATGAGATCGTATGCGCCGCCGAGGGTGCTTTGTTCGTTGCGCAGGTCGATGCTTTCGCGGATGATATTGGCGAGTTGGATCTGGCGCAGGGTGTAGCTAGTCTCGCAGTATTCATCGTGTGAAACCTCGTCAGTGCGACCTCGCGAGAGACGTGCGTCTGTGGTATGAAGTGGTCGACGAGTGGTCATCTGCGAGGGATGGATGGTGTACGCACCTTGGCGCTGTGCCGAGCACCAATCTTTGACCACGAGATACCACCAGATACGAACACCTGTCTCGAGACGCACAATATCCTCGTCCGGATTCTTAAGCGTCGGCATCGCATCTCCAAGTCGATGCAACCGCGTGTCGAGCGCAGTCTGAATGGAAATGCGCAACAGCATCCTCAGATAGCTTGGAGAATCGCGTCCATCCAAGATCATGAGCAAGGCCGTCTGAATAGCTGTCAGCGAGCCAAGACTGAAAGTACGATGAGCAGCCAAAGTGCGCTTGGCAAGATTCAACCACTGCAGCGAAATATCATCGCCTCGGTTCTTGAGCGCATTGACTGTAATGAACTCGGGTGAAGTGTCGTCGATAAACATGCCAGCCTTCCACGGATAGAAGCGCATGCCAAGACGAAGCACCATAAGGTACCGGGAAAGATCGTACATGTCGAGTGGCGAGGTCAACAGCTCTTCAATGGTGGCGTCATTGAAATAGTCAATGTCTCTGCGGAATGAAATCATGTGTATGATCCTTCCGACCAGATTGTGACATCGAAGGTTGAATATGTGGATGAGCGCATCTACGATGTCCTTGTCCGGAACCAGCTTTTTTGCAAGCACGAGGATCTCGATGCGTTCGTGCAAGAGAGCTGGCTGGGGATAGTAGGTGTTCAGGCTATGGTGTGCAATCTGGCTCGGCAGAAGGTTGTTGATCTGCTTGCTGTCGGCTTTACCGCGACCTGGTTCACTGACACAAGGATGGGAAGCAGCAAGCTTTTCGAGCGTGACGAGCGAGTTCTCGGTTTCGCCTGGTTGCTCGTCGTTGGATTCGGTGGAAGGGCCAGGAGGACTGTAAGCGTCTCTTGATGCGCTGCCACCGACTTCGGAGGGGCCCGTATTGTGTGAGCCGCGCGACCTTGTGCCAAGCTTGCGTGACGAATTCAATGGCTTGTCAGAAGGAAAAAAACCGGCTGAAGGCGAAGGGGGCTGTGAATGCGAGCTTTGTCGACCTTTGCGAGCGATGATATCCTCAAGCTCTTTGACTCGCTTGCGAAGAGATGCGATCTCATCTTCGGGCTTGTCGGAAGAGTCTGATGCTAGTTTAGGTCGCTTTCTGCCACGAGGTATCCTAGGGTCTTTGCGGCATTCATCATGTATGCCTTTGGCGATGCACTGATTGCATGGGAGGTTGGTATCACATTTGAGCTTCTTCTGACGACAACGCGAGCAGGAGGGAGTAAAGCGATGAATGTTGGCCATCTGAAGCTGTTGTTCGGGCACGAGCTGATGCATGGGTCGCTGTACAGACGGCGGTAGATTGCTAGTCCCAGGCTGTGATGCGTAGACAGTATTGTCTGGAGAAACAAGAGCGGATGTCGACGGCATAAAGCTGTTTTGTTCGTAAGACGGCTGTGGATTGGTGTGAGCGGCATGGTGATGGTGCTGAGGCAGAGGATGGGCGGGGTGTGTGGGATGAGGATCGTAGTGGGTATCATGGTAGGAACGACGCAGCGACGAAGGTGACGGGCCCGGCATAAAATGCGACGATGAAGAGGGGCCCAGCTGGCGATGAGGCATGCCTGGAGATGGCATGGTTGTCAGCTGGATGAGTGCATGAGTGGCGGGTGCTGTGTTGAGGCTGTCAGCTTGAGGAGGTCCTATCAACACATTGCGTTACAATAGTGAGATATGGCTGATGAGAGATGGAGCACGGGTAAGGGGGTCGAGGACAATGTTGTCGAAGATGGCCAAGACAAGCAAAAGAGGGCCAGGAACGAACAACTGGAGGAGGCGCTGTTCAAGGTTCAGGAAAGGCTAGGTTGCAGATGTGCCGGCGTAAAACTCGATTGCGGAGATACGCAAGCTGCAGTAGCCGAATTAATTCCGTCCTGTCAACTGCTCTTGAGCAGCATCATCAGCTTGGCTAGCCTCCAAGACTTGGTTTGGATTGCTCTATAGAATTTCCTTTTGGCATGGCAGAACTTGTACGCCAGGATGAAAAAGGTTGCAAGGTCGAATCAATTCCAATGTTGTTGATGTTGATGATGAGGAGGAAGAGGAGGAGGAGGAGGAGGAGGAGGAGGAGGAGGAGGAGGAGGAGGAGGAGAAAGGGGTGGGTGGCGTTGCAGCGATTCTCAGGGTTCAGGCAGGGAGGCAGAAACAAGAGGCGGATGAGCAGGTTCAGGGTGGCAATCGAGAGCCGAGCAGGTAGAGGATCGGGGGTTGCGTTTGGCGTTGGAGCTCCTCTTGGCCATGCATCATAGCGCTTGTTCGGAAGATGGCCGCCGAAGATTAATCACAACAACGGAACAGCCGAAACTTGGACAGCGTCCCTTGGGCAGAAAACACGACGCCAACCAAGAGCGACATGCTTTTGCCTCCCTATGTGCTGCTTTGCGGTTCAGCATCTTGACGTGGCCCATTCAGGCGATCAATAGTATGCCAACCCTATCCGAACCTCGGGGCTTCTTCGAAAGAAAAGCTGCCGAGGCCGACTGCAGCGTGGAGAATTTTTACTCATCACGATTCGTCAGCTTGGTGGACCCTTTGTTCTCTTCCAGTGATATTGCGTGACATCATCATCACGGTGGAAGCTGCGGCTTGACATTCTTGTGGTCGTGCTGACTGAGGCTCAGTATGGCTGAGTCAGTGGACCCTCTCTCGTTCTTGGCAGGGATGAGAGGGAATGAGATATATATCTACAGTACAGTAGCAGACCAGCAGCTCTCATGCATATCTAGCCTCGACGCAGCAGCACCATCTTGCAACAATGGTGAACAGATTTGCACCAGTCGACAAGATCCATCAGGCGCTTCACGCCTACCACGTAGTAGCTGACGAGCGAGGAGAGATTGTCCCCTCGGTGCACTACTGTTCCTGCAACTCTTCTGGTGACCATTTCCAATGCCTCATCTACGAATCTGACGAACCGGATGCCAAGCTTATCGGCGTCGAATACATGGTTTCCGAAGACGTCTTTCTGCAGTTGCCGGAGGATGAGAAGAAATATTGGCATTCTCACGTGCACGAAGTGATGGGTGGCTCACTCGTCCTCATCGGTCTGAGGGCAGGAATGGTGGCTGAAGCAGCAGCAGCAGCAGCCAAGAGCGCCGAAGATGCGGTCAAGGCGGTAGCAGGTGCGGGCGCGACAGGTGGTGCTGTACCTGATGCTGCTGAACTTGCTGCGTTGGCAAGAATCAAGAAGCTTTACGGCAAGGCCATGTGAGTATCTACTTTCAAGTCAAGCACTTATTTCAACTTTGTTTTCCTCAAGCTAATCCGAACCTCTCTTGAATACATATGCAGCCACCTCTGGCATCCTACCTCGTCGGCTGTTCCTATGGGCCCACCTAAGCTCATGATGCCCATCGACGAGAAATACGACGGCGTTCCCGACAAGATGATCAAGCAACGAGACGAGCGATATGCAATCGATACAGAGCGCAAGAAAGCAGAGCGTCAGGACAAGCTGACTGAATCGGCTCTGCCGAACAACGCTGCTGATCAGTATCTCCGCTCAGGCAAGACGTTTCAGTTCACTGCTGAGGAGAGCCATGTTCGCCCTGCTTCTTAGCTCCACCTGACACTTTGATGCGCTTCTCACGCTCGGATGTAAAGCTTTTCAACAGCTCCTTAGATACATTTCGCCATAGACTGTTGATTAGGCTGAGACTGTAAAGCTTCACTGTCCTATCGGAGCTGCCGATGCGGTTGACCAGGCTCTCATCCATTGCGATTGCTCCGTGATTATGTGTGACTAGCAACACCTCCAATTTCCCTGTCAACGAGTCTCTCCTGCAAATCTCGAATCCCACCCGTGCTTGCGCCAGCCAATAATCCCAACTGGAAAACTCTCATCGCTGAAGCCTTGGGCAATCTGTACAAAGCAGTGGCAGCTCCTGCAGTGACTACTCCCGCCAATGCACCGTCTGTCCAGTGACCCAGCACCTTCCATCCTTCCCTACCGCCGCTGAATTGCTTCTGCACACTGGCTCTTGTCACTTTGGCAAATTGTTCAGCAAGGCAGAATGCAGTAGTCCAGATACCCAGTCTCACGCCTTGTTTCAGTCCGCCCTTTGCTGCGCCGAGCATCACCTTATAGTTCTTGGTCTTCGAGTAGAAGTACCACCCTTGCACTGTGTCTGGCAGACGGTGCGCGTTTTCCGCCATAAATACTAATCCCGCTCTTTTGCCCGCAGTAAGCACTCCCGATACTAGGCCAAGGCCAAATGCGGTGGCAGGGAGTACAGGCGAGATGGCGAGGACCGAACGGAAGAACGACATCGACTGGCCTCTGTTTCTTTCCGAATCGCCCAACTCTAGCGGCGAGTTTATTGCGTAGGATCGAGACGAGGTCGGAGAGATGGAGTCATTCCAGGCAGATACGCCAGCAAATCGTCGTTGCACTTCGTAATCTCGCTCCGTGTCGAGTTGGCTTTTGAGCGTAGAAACCCATTCTTCGAAGCTTGAGGCCTTGCTGAGATCTGTCAGTGCTTGATCTACTGATTTTGGTGCTGCTACTCCCTCTCTGGCTGAGCATCCGGGTATGTAGTCCTCGCGATCACATACACGCATGTGAGGAGCTGCACCTTCTAGACTTGCTTCTCCGCTACGTCTGCTTGGGATGACCTTTGTCATGGCCACAACAAATTCGTCCATTGTCTTGACGTCCAAAGCCCATTTCGCCGCTTCTACTGTTGCAAGTGTGGACATGGCGACGATGGATGTGGCAATGAAGAAGGCCTTCAGCGACAATCCTACGGGGGATTGGAAGAAGCTGCTTGGGCCATGCTCGGCACTCGCTTCTTCTTCGAGGGCTTTGAGCCTTTGTTGCTCATCCAAGGGGACAGGTGTGGAAAGACCGAGAAAGTCGAGTGTCGAATCCATTTCACTGTAGTCGATCTTGCTTTCGTTGGGATTGGGTAGCCTTGCGGTTGAACTGCCAGCATCGTTGCTAGAAGACCGGGAGCAAGACGCAAGAATCGGAGCCGGTGCTGATTGATGTGAGCTTGATGCTGAGGACGGGACAGCAGGACCTGCTTTCCGTCTTCGCAATACACTCGGCAGCGCATCTGTCTCGTCGTCGAACACTGAAGTTGGTGCTCTTGAGCTTGAGTCGCTCGAAACTGATGGTGCTCGCTTCGATGGGCTAAAAATGTCAGTGTTCATCTGCTTGAACAGTGCAAAAGCGCTTCTGGAGCCATGTGCGTCGCCTTCCACGGCTTCGCTTGCCGCAGGCGACCAACGGTTTGCTGTTGCTGCAGAGGCCCTTGCCGCAGAGCGAGCTCGCAGCACTGACGGTACAACGGCACTTGCCCTTGACGATGCGAGAGAAGAAGATGATGCTTGCTGTGTGGAGACAATAGAAGCCTGTGCAAGCTCTTGTGCTTCCTTCAGAGCTTGTAAGCGAGCCTTTCGTAGGCCATAGATGGTAGCACATGTCAATCCAACGACGAATGCGCCTCCGGATAGTGTTGCAATGAACGTCTTTTTGTCCGGGAGCTGGGTTTTGTAGCTGGTCGAGGCTTCGGCTGAACTGGATGCGCCATACCGCAAATATCTGTCGTTGATACTCAACGATGTCATCTTCCGCAGCGTCGAGAGAATTGGAAGGTAGAGAGGTGTCTGTGTAGAGGTGGTATGGCTGGCAAGACAGGAATGCCTTGCTCAGGTTTGCAATGCTGCAGCTTCCCTTTTTTGGCTCCTGTTTCTCGGGACGCGGAAAAAGCTAACTTCTTCGCACCTTGTTGCTCATTTGGTATACCGCTCTCACTCTACACAGTGCAGCCATGTGAAGCAATGGAGATCACAACCGCTTAGGATGTTCTGAGACAGTGTACATAGATGATTGTGATGCAAGATACAAGTACAATGACCGGCCAAGTGCAAAAGATGCTGGCTGGCATGATTCCAGGTGGAGTTGGGACAGTGAAACGAGATTCGGTAGCCTTCTTGGCATAATGCTCTAACAAGCACCGCTCATTCCAGCTGGCTCAGCTGCATTTCTAGCTTTCGCTTCTTGTTCCGCAAAACATCAATCTCGCTTTGTGTTGTGATATTGGCAACTTCCAACTGCAATCCTCGCGAGATGAGCTCCGTCCACCTCTTCTCCAGTGTCGCCAACTTCGATCCGGCTTCCGTCTGATCCTTCTGTCTTAGCCTGTTGATCTCATTCGTCTCGCCTTTGATTGCGTCCACCTGTTCTGACAGCAACCGAATGTCCTGTTCCTGCTGAAAGTTTGACAACCTCCATGCATTGCTGCCGTACTTTTTCATCAACTCGACGTTCTTGAGTCGGACATCCATGTGACCTAGTTGTGCATGAGCGCTGTCGACTGCTGTTTGCCATGCATCTAGTGGCGCACCGTCGCCGCCTTCAGGTGCTGGTAGAGTGTATCTTTGGCTATCAAGGGTGTGTGACGATGGCTGGCCAGAAGCGACGCGTTCGAGCTCTGCGCGGAGATCGGGTCGCGAGCCGAAAAGCTCGTATGCTGGTGGAAGACGTGATGATGTTGTTGGGTCGATTGGCGCCATGCTCGCTTGTTCTTCTGCTACCAATGCGTCGACTCTAGACCTGAGACCGGGTTGCAGTTCAAGGTCGCGGTCAAAGTAAGGTAGGGCATCTGTCGGGGCGAGCTCGACTGCATGGTACGAAAATGGATCTCTAAAGGGGCCTGATATGGATGCACCTGCATTAGACGCGCCGTTTCCATTGGCCACTGCCTCCGTCGCAGATGTCGATGTCGCTGGGTCAGGCACCTCGGAAGCGGTGGAACCGTTCGAAGCGCGTCCTCGCCCTCGTGCCATCACGTCTTGATCGTGGAGAGGTGTCGGAATGGGAAAGAACCTCGGTTGCACTAGCAAGAGCACCTCGGATACGGCGTTGACAGGTGAAAGCAAGAGTGCTGTTCCTTGTATCTGGGGATCAAGTGAGGGCCTATTGGCGAGAGGATATGCTTCTTCTCCACCATCAACGCTGACCAAGTATAACTTCGAGCATTGACCGTTGTCCGACTTTTTGGCGAAAACGTGGAAAGTGTTAGACTTCGTGTGTGTCGGCCGTTTGCAATTTTCTGAACCAATCAGAAAACTCTCGGAGCCGATCTGGTACGCCAAGGTCACGGTTGCGATCGTCTTTGAGGCAGCAGAGCACTGTACCGTTTGCCTCCAATTTGTCATCCGAACGTCCAAAGCCGCCGCCTTTGAGGTCGATCTTCTTCTCCACCTCGTCGATGCTCACCATCCCCATCTTCACCTAGTTCTCGATCGGCATCCTTTGCGACTCAATACCTCGGTGACTTTCGCCATCATGTCGGCCCGTTCGCTTCCATCCAGCACACTTTTCCGCGCCCTTTCGGCCAGGAACGCCACATCCAGCAGCTTGAGGGCTTCCGCAGCTTCTCTCAACATTCGCGCATTCTCTTCATCTGTCGCCAAGTCCACAGGCCGTCCCGATATCCAGGGAGATGGTAAGGGTGACCGCGTCAATCCTGTCAGTCCTTTCTCCGAACCCGCCGGAATCAACCCAGTAGACAAGTACAAGGACATTGCCGGTCCCTTGCACGACTTTGGCAGCTATATCACTTCTTGTACGTTGACACGACAGACCTCCTACCGTGTTGCGCTTTGATAGCCTTACTAAATCCACTTCTCGCTCTTCTTCTTTCTTTTGAAAACTTCCCCCCCCCCCCCCCACATTACATTAACAATGATCCCCAATCGGACATTCACCATTCGCTCGCCCAACAGGCCTTCCCAAATTCATTCAGCAGTTCAGCGTCGTCAAGGATGAGCTCACACTCTACGTTGCGCCAGACGCCATCATCCCTACATTGACCTTCCTTCGCGACCACACTCAGACTCAGTTCCGCGCATGCATGGACATCAGCGGTGCCGACTACCCTACCCGCTCGCAACGTTTCGAGGTCGTCTACCACCTTCTCTCTGTTCAGTACAACGCACGTATCCGTGTCAAAACCTACGCCGATGAGGTCCACCCCGTTCCTTCCGCCACCTCCGTCTTCCGATCTGCCGATTGGTACGAGCGTGAGATCTGGGACATGTACGGTGTCTTCTTCATCGGTCACCCTGACTTGCGACGTATCTTGACCGATTACGGTTTCGAAGGCCACCCTCTCCGAAAGGATTTCCCTCTCACAGGTTACACAGAGGTTCGATACGACGAGGAGAAGAAGCGTGTTGTTTCGGAGCCATTGCAGCTTACACAGGTATTTAGGAACTTTGAAGCTAACAGCCCATGGGAGCAGGTTGGTGAGGGTGAGAGCTACAAGCCCAACGCGTTCAAGCTCACTCCACCTAAGCCAAAAGAGGACCCCAAGGACAAGAAGTAAGAAGGCATCTCGAAATTCGTCTTATATTATCGCATTCTCGAATATGTTTTGGTTGCAGAACACTCAACTCAACGTCCGACTGACAGGATAATGTCGGAAGAAGCTCACTTCTCGTCTTTGGCAATCCCAGGCTGAACAGGAATAGTGTTCGCAGAGGTGAATGAAAATCAGCATTGCGTAGAATCAGATCGACCTGAGATCAATTCCCAACTTGTTCAGCGCCGACTTTGCCCGCTCCCTGACATCCAATTCAGGATCATTCTGAGCCAAGTCTCGCATCTTCACATCCAGTTCAAACCTTGCCATCCTGGCCTTTGCCTCCGTATGCAGATCCAGATATCCTCCACTTCCAACACCACCATCTGCAGTATCAGCCATAGCCAACGTGCTTGTCGCGCCCGCGCCCTTTGACCTTGCTAGCAGATTGCCGACACATCTAGCCGCGGCAACACGAATGACCTTCCATGGATGGTTGCAGAAGAACACGATCGCATCCATAATGTTCGGCGTCCTCAACAAGGTTCTCCGATGTTCATCTGTGCCTGTTGCTACGTTGACCAACACAAACGCGGCCTGTTCGATGACTGCTGCCCCAGGCTCGCCTGCTTCGCGACCGTCCCAGATACATTTCTCGAGAAGCTGCATGAGTCGAACACCTCCACCCATACCGTCGACCATGAACGTAACGTCGCACTCTTTGGAGGCTGCAGCGTTGCGAAGGATGTTGAGCGCTTGTTCCTTGAACACCATGTCGTAGGTTGGCGAGTCCAAAAGGGTGGTGATGAAGGAGAAGTTGAGCTTGGACATGACGTCACTTTTGAGTGCTGTGTCGGAGTGTGAGAGGAGATTCTTGAGAGCCCACAGAGCATGTAGACGAAGCTGTTGTGAGCCAGAGAGGCTGATGCGTGAAGGACGGCTGGACCGATCCTTGAGATTGCCTGAGGTACCGATGCTGGCGCTGCTGTTGCTAGGCATAGTTGCGGTCGTTGACAGCATGTAGTATCGTTCTTCTTCAGTACTGCGTGAGGTTGGCGGCGCAGCGCCGCCATTGTGGGCAAGCTGAACGAGACTGTCGACACCGCCAAGCTCCTGGATGAGCTTCTTCATTGGGCTGAAGTCCAGGACTAGATTGCAGATCGCAGCAGTGGCCTCGACTTTGACCACCTCTTCTTCATCTGGATCTTGCAACAGCGCCACAAGCTTCGGTGCCACACCTACATCGACGATTGATGTCCTCAGAATCGACAGACTCCGCGAAAGCGCTCGCGTGAGACGACAGGCGGCGACCCTGACTCCCAAAGCTGGGAAGCCGATACTCGACACAACCATAGGCAGCACAGCCGGCTGTACCGAATCGATCAGCTTCCGTCTAGGCTCGTCATGCTGGAACGTCAAAGCTGCGAGCGCTGTCAGACACGCTTCTCTCAGCCTGATAGCCGACTCGTCCACCGTTGGCGGCACGAGACCCACCGTGGCATCTGTTCGCGGCGTCTTGACTGCGATGTTGGCCAAGAAAGTTGTTGCAGCACTGGCTCGGTCTGTCTTCGCACCACCCGGAGGCTGGGTGCATCGCATGCATGCTCGATCCAGAAGCTGCGCTAGCTTCGACAAAGCATTGTAGCTTTCAGTCGCCAGGTTCTGCAATGTGACGTTGTCAGCGACAAGCCGTGCAATGGCGAACGCCGCTTGAATCTGTATCTCGACCTGACTAGTCGTCTGAAGCTGGGATGCGGGAGCGGCTGCGCTATGTTGTATGAGTCCGGAGGGGATATGATCGAGCAGCTCCATGAGCACTTCGAGTACGCACTGGTTGGTCTTTGCGGTGAAAGGGTAGACTTTGATGATGTTGGCAAGGCAGCAGAATGCAGCAAGTCTAACGTTGGCGCTACTCGTTTGTCGGAGATTGAGCAGTACCGAAGTTGGAATCACACCGGACGCAGACGTACATCGGAACAGCCGTAATGACGCCTCTGGCTGATCTCGCGTGATCTCTGCAAGGCAATACAGCGCTGCTTCTTGAGTTTTGGCAAATCCGCATTCTGCAGTTGCGACCAGCACGCTGAGGATAGAGGCCGGGTCAGAGACGGTGAGATCGTATTCTTCACGCAGATTCTCGCTGCCGTCTTCGTCCCATGGCGGAAGAGGAGATGCGTCGAAGATTCCAGCATTGTCGGCGTCCTTCATGCGCGAACGTGAACGTGAGCCTTTGCGAATAATTTCAGCTTGCACCTGCGAAGATGCGCGGCGGCGTGATACTGCCTCGCTGCGACCTCGTGATGCCAACTCACCAACCAATCCGGGTGCGAAAGGACTATCAGCGACATTGAAAGCCAAGATCCGTTGACGTCGTTCGGAAATCTGCTCTGATAGTGATTCAGAGATTCCAGTGTCTGGATTTGTGCTGTATCCGGGAATGAACATGGTACTGGACAGAATGGCGCAGATCATCTCGATCACGCTGAGGATCTTGGTCTTGACAGTCATTGGTAGCGCCTCGACATCGATAGCTGCCTGTGTTGATGAGGCTGCTGCGGCAGACGTTTGACTTGAAGGCCGGCCGTGCGTCGCTGCTTCAGGCTTTCGAGCTGTAGCAGATGTCTTGGACGGATGAGCAGAGGTCGAGCGTGCCGTGGAACCTTGCTGTTGGGGTATTGAGCACATGAACAGAGGCCCAAGCAGGAGCGGCAGACTCGATGGATCGTACACCTGAGCGAGGAAGACTCTTGACAGACGTCGAAGTTCTCTCTGCTGCTGCACCTCGGACTCGAGCTCCTCCTGCTTGACCTTGGCTCGCAGATTGTCGTGGCTGGCGCTGCTCATGAGGATGTCCTGGATGGGTAATGTTCGACCTGAGAAAGAGTCGCGGCTGCTCTTGCCGAATATCTTGGAAGCAGCAGCATTCGAACCAAGACGAGCGATGGAGATTCCGGAGCTGGCTGCTTTTGTGCCCCAACTGGAACCAATGCCCCATCGAGGGCTTGCTGAAAGTTGGTCTGCGACAGACAGAAGAATGGATCGCAATCCTCTCAGCACCGACTCTAGCAGCCTGAGCGCGTCGAAGGAATCCGGTCGTTGATCGAGGACGTGTCGCTTCGTTCGGATCAGCTCTTGGCTCAGATTGCGCAGGCAGCAGAGGAGAGCATCATGGGTGCCGGAGCGCATCAGCTGAAGCAAAGTGGACTGCGCTGGGGTATTGGCGAGTGAAGCAACGATGGTAGCAGAAAGGCTGACTAGATCAGAGGCGTAGACTGTCGAGTCGAGATCGATCTGTAAAAGCTGGACGAGCTGTTCGATGACACCGGTATGAACAAGATTCGACTTTTTGGTTCTGGAGCCGATAACCGAGTTGCGGATGGCTTTGAGCTGAGAAATGGTCTGCTCTGGATCATCGAGATTCAAGAGAGCCGATGTAGTTCGTGAGAGGGCAGCACCTCCCAGCATGGAAGGCAGAGCCATCGTCATGGCTGCAAGTCGCTGTGAGTGTCGATTGACCGCGAAGCGAATGTGAGTATCGACGAGATGGTGTCCCTGATCCGCCGTAAGCCTTGACTTGATGCACGAGGAGCCACACTTTGCATGGGTCGCAGGCTAGAGGTACTGAAGCTGGACGGTTGATTGGATGTAGAAGGGAACATACAGTCAAGGTCGCGAGCTCTGTGAGATTATGGGCGGGGCTCGAGTGTTCAATGCTTTCCGCCTGTCAAGGTCCCCGCATCCTCTCTCTTCTGTCTTTCCTCGCCTCTGATGGACGCGATCCCGCACTTTAGCAGTGAGACTTGCACTGGACTCAGAAGTGCGATTTCAACTGCCGATCTGCGCAGCTTTTGTGTGTCTCGCTGCTTAATTCCAATGTGGAGCAAAAGCAAGCCAACACGGCAAACGCTTTCGACGCGTTCCGCTGTGTTCCTCCCACATGACTTGGAAGCAAAGAAAGAAGCCTTGTTCTCGCATCCTCCCCATCAAGGGTGGTGTTTATTGTTACAAGCGACCATCATCTATGTCACCACGTCCTGTACAGCGTCACTATTTTCGCTGCGTGGTTCAAGCATGCAAAAGAGTCGTTTGGAACATCGTTTGATTGTAGAGCCAAGGCACCGAGAGACTAGAGTACAGCGTGAAGAAAACATGAGACCACAAAGCAGATCTGAGGAAGCCGGTAATAGAGAAACACGAGGAATGCGAGGGATAATCAAAGAGGAGAGCAAAGGTGACAACGAGATAGCTGACGCCGAGCGTCGAGGGTATAGGTTAGGATTGCATCAGAGCTTGAAGACCATGTCCTCGCTGAACATGATACTGTTCTCCCTGTGCATCTGCTCGAGAACCTGGCGCGCCTCGTTGCTGTCGAACAGCTCTTCGGTGCGACGGCCTTCATTCATGACGGGAAGCAGGTCGTCCAGTGGGATGGCATCCATCTCTGCCAAGCGACCATCAGACGAGAAGAGCAGGTCTGAAAGGGCCTCCTTGAACGCCTCCGTCCTACGTGCCGAGACACCAATCAATGATGAGCTCGAAGGTTGAACAGGCTGCGAGGGGATGACCGCCTCGACATCCATCGAGCGCATTGCCTCGAGAGCGTCCTCATCGTCAAAGTCCTCTTCGTCCATGCCACCAGGACCAACCATGGCAGGCTTAGGCTTGGGATGCGTCGAGGCAGCAGCCCTTGTGGCGTAGGCGCCGTTGGATCGAGCCGAGCGTTGCGTAGAGACTTGCGCGGCATCATTGTCATCGTCGCTGCTGTGATCGTCCTCGCCGTAGCGCTGACCACCACGACGACCGCCTCGAGCACCGCTGCGCCCACTTCGTCCGCTGCGGTAAGCCGCTTTGGCATCACTGGTGCGGGCAGCCTCATCTCCACTGTCGTCACCATCGTCGTCCTGGTCCTCAGCGTCATCGTCGCTCATGGGGCTGTTGCCCGTTCGGCGTCGCTTGTTGACACCTTTGCGTCCACCGAGTACCTCCTTGAAAAGAGCAAAGCGGAGGATCTCCTCTGCAGCCTCAGCATCGCGTTCCTCGACTTTGCTGCTCAATCGACTCTTGGCGTGCGCAGTAGCGAGACGGATAAGGGTCTCGAGGGTACGCGCGGTGAGAGGCGAAGTACGCTTCTGGTTGCCAGAAAGCTCGTCATTACGAAGGTTTGAGTAGACATTGACGATCCACTCAGCAGCGCCCTTGGTCAAGACAGGATGGATACGCGACTTGGCGTACTGGATATACTTCTTGATAAAAGCAATCGAAAGCACCTCCTTCTTGTCGGTGCTACGGCCGGAGCCCGTGACGCCAGAGTGGAGGAGAGGGTTGTATTTTTCAAAGGGAGAGGTGTCGCCGAGCATAGCAGCACCATCAGCATCGGTCCCCTCGGGGGCACCAACATCGAGAGCCTGATCGAGGTTGTCGACAGCTGGAGTGCCCTCCTCGAGGCCAGGTTGCAGGTAACGGTGCATGCGCAGAACATGCTCCGAAATCATTCGGTCACGCTGCTCGTCAACGTCGTCGGTGACCACAAAGAGCAAATCGAAACGAGAAAGGAGCGAGTCGGGAAGTGCAATGTTCTTGTGAGGGTCCTTGTGAACGTCGTACTGGCCGTAGATGGGGTTGGCGGCTGCGACGACCGAACAACGGGCGTTGAGACTGGTGTGGATACCGGCCTTGGCAATGGTCACCGTCTGCTGTTCCATGACTTCGTGAATGGCGACTCGGTCGACATCGCTCATCTTATCGAACTCGTCAATGCAGATGACACCACGATCAGCCAAGACCATGGCACCTGCCTCGAGACGACGCTCTCCAGTCTCCTTGTCTGTTGTGACAGCAGCAGTGAGACCGACACCACTCGAACCTCGACCGGTAGTAGCAATGGCAAGTGGGGCCGTGTTGAGAACGAATCGAAGCATCTGCGACTTGGCAGTGGAAGGGTCACCAACCATGAGGATGTTGATGTCACCACGAATGTGAGTGCCGTTAGGCAAGTTCTTCTCTTCACCACTGAGTAAAAGTAGGAGCACGGCCTTCTTGATGTACTCGTGACCGTAGATGGAGGGTGCTAGGGACTGCGAGAGCAAGTTAAAGACATTCTTGCGTTTGGCGATCTTGTTAATGTTTCGGATGTCAGTGTCGGTGATGTGCGCCTGAGCAATGCCTCCGCCGGCTTTTGAGGAGAGAAGGTTGAGGTTGTTACCAATCATGAGTGTGCGGAAAGTAGAAGAAGAGCTCTGGCCGGTGCGATTGCCGAGCGAGCGGTACATGCCGACAAGCTGGATGCGGTCGCCTGGCTTGCAGCGGTCAACCATGTCGTCGTCCATAACAACGTCGATGCTTCTTGGCAATTGACCTGGAGGTGCGCGCTCGGGCATTTCTTGGATAGAGATCATCTGGTGGTCACGGAAGAGACTGTGGCCGTACTCGGTGGTGAGACGGTTGCCGTTCTCGTCCTCAGTAGGATATACCGTAGATGATGGGGGTAGCGTTCCGTACATGGTGGCATCACGGTACTCGCGCTGGTGAAACTTTGTTGTCGTTTCACAGTAGTGAACGGACTTGAGGATCTTGGGACGAACGAGGGAACAGCGTGTGACGATCCCTTCCAAACTCATCATCTTGCCGAGGTGGACACTGCGAAGTGTACGTGGGTTGACATGGTGGTCTCCGAAACTTCCGCGCAGACCAATGTAGTACTGCTTGTTCTTGGTGTCATCTTTGAGAGGATTGGCTGCCAGCTCGACCGACATGTGCAAGGCAGCATCAAAGGCGGGAAGATACTCGTTGGGCTCGTTTAGTAGGCCCGTAGCGAACTCTCGGTTGTAGGACCGCAAATCATCTATGTTGATGATGAGTCTACGAGCATCCATCCTCAGCATGCGACGAACGGCATCTTGGTATTCGTCCTTGGAGAGGAACTCGGAGAAGACTCGCTGCCTGTCACGGAGGAGGTCGTCCTGAAAGATGGGGACGTCGAGATTGTTGTTGTTGTCGTCGTATGCCTGGCTCATCTTGCTTTCTTCAGATGGGTGGAGTGGAGGGTATCAAGGAAGAGTGGCACTTGGGGCCAGGTTAACGTCGCTCTACTGCGGCAATGGTTCGTGAGAGTGGGCCGTGTTTCGGGTCTAATGGCGAGCGGAGAGAAGCAGCATGTAGATGGTGATGGCGAGTAGAGACAAAGTACGTTGGTAGAAGCTCGCAAGGAATCTGCAGGCTGCGTAGTCTGGGATGAAGCCGAGCACAATCTTCCACACAAGAGGCACAGAAGGACTCCCCGCGCTGACGCTCAGCTTCTCCTCTGCCGCAACACCTCTTTTGGGTCGATTGTTGAACGAGCAGCACAGAGAAAAACACTGAGCACCACACAGCGCGCGCGCCACCTGCCTAAAGAAGACCAAACGCAAGAAAAGCAAGAAGAGCAGCAATTTACGCGAACGCGCAAAGTCGCGTAAAAGTCATTTACGCGTTGACGCGAGGCAAGTTGCAGTTGAAGTAGGTAAAAGCCATACAAAGCGTAGAGTTGGTGAAGGTAGTGCTTACGGCCGAGTAAAAGGCTTGAGCATCTGAGCACAGACCACATGTGTCACAACCTACTCAAGACAAATGCTTTGTTATGCTCCGCAGTCGATGCGGCTCTCTGCCACTCTTCTTTTGTATATAAAGACTCCTTCTCTCTTTCCTCGCTCTCTCTCTCTTACTATCATCATCATAAATCACATGAAACTTCAACTGGCTCCCAATGTGGGGCTCGAACCCACAACATTCATCACATCAAGAGTTCGATGCTCAGCATAATGCCGCCGGCGACAAGAGCAGGGCAAACCAGAAGGGATGAGAGAGATGATGATCAAGTGGCCACAGCTGCAGGCAATGGTCGAGAGGAGGGTTGGCTCACACAGGTAGTTAGAATTCTACAGTTAGCAAACCCAGCACTGACGGTGGAGGAGGCAATAGTACAGGCGATGGGTCTTGTCACCATTAGCAATCAAACCCCACAAGGAGAGATGGAAAAGATCCCCAAGGATGTTTCGAGCTCAATTGCCCATATTAAGAAACTTAGTGATAGCAACTGGCACACCTGGGAGCCTACTTTCATTGACTGTTTGCAATGAGTACACAATGCGAAGGAAATCCTGTACAGCAAGATAGCACTGGGAAGTGAGGGGTATGACAAGGACTTGGACAAGGCTCTTGTAGGTCTTATCCATGCCTCCTGTGACCACAGTCTGGAGAGCCGCATCGATACATACACTGTTAGGGGTGCAGATGAACATGTCCAACTTGGTAGTACACTATACACTAAGCTCAAAAAGGCGCTAACATTGGATGACGCAGTAAAATGAGCGGGCCTGCAGGACTGCATCCACACTGTATGACTGTACAATCGTGATGTTGTCAGGCTGGGCAAGGAACTGGATTCTATCTGGAATGATGCTGTGCAACTTGGGAAACGACTCGACGAGGACCTCAAGAAAGCCACCCTATACTGCTGCACAGCACAAGATTGGTTCTACACCAACTCTGTCGATGCCCTCAAGACAGCCAAACCAGATTGTAAGTACGACGAAGCCTACCACGCGTTAGCAAAGAAGCAACAGGATGGTGAGGTCACTGGCCATATTAGAGGAGCAGCAAGGGTTGCCACAAGCACAGACCAGGCGGAACAAGGACCCAGGGGCAGGTGCGACCCTCGCAACCCCTCAGCCCCTCCTAAGTGCTATGCTTGTGGAGGGCCTAATCACATTGCTCGCAACTGCACAAACACCAACAACAATGCCGCACCGAGTATGGGCAGACCCACCACCAATCCAGCACAGGAAGCAAGTCGGTAGGAACTCAGGTGCACCCTCCTAGCGATCAGTGGAGATAAGCAACCAACATCGGATACCTGGATTGTTGATTTGGGTGCAACACACCACATGGTGAACGATGAAAGAATGCTACTCACCTCGACAAGCAAGGATGGTCAGATCTGTATGGCTGGAAATGAAAGGCTTCAAGTGAAGGCCATAGGAGATGCCTCCCTTTGGGTTGGCGATGTAACCATTCAACTATTGGATGTGCTCTATGTGCTGAAACTTAATTCTAATTTATTATCAGTACAAGGTTTGATCGAGAACGGTGCACAGGTAACTTTCGATGGGTTTGGGACCATCATTAAGCAAAATGACAGCACACAAATACAGTACAAGAGGAACAGAAGAAAAGGGCAGTTCAAAATGCAGGGAAAAGCACTAGCCCTGGAGTTGGAAGAGACACTCGACAATGTCCCAGAGGACAACCAGAACACAGGAAGACACAATGACGTCCCAGAGGACAATAAGAACACAGGAAACCGAGACAACAACTTGAAGGAAGACAAAGATAGCTATCTCTGGCATGAAAGGTTTGGACACCCAGGATGAGATAAGACAAGACAAATCCAGGTGCACTACCTCGGCACTGATGAGAGATTGGATCATGAATCAAAGCACTGCAATGCATGCAGTCAAGGGAAACAGACCCGGGCACGGATGAGCCAATCGGAGTCGAAGAGAGTGGAGGCGCCACTAGAGTTGGTACATGTAGATTTGATGACAGATCTTAAGGGCCATGCCAACTACCACTACGCACTAGTTGCTGTGGACAACTTCTCCTCCCTGATCTATGTGGAACCACTCTGCACTAAGAGTGCTGTACTCCCAGCACTGAGAAGGTGGATCACCAGGATGGAATGAGCAACAGACAGGAAACTCAAAACGCTCCACAGTGACAATGGAGGAGAATGGTGTAGCTCAGGAGCTGAAGACTGGCAAACTCAAGAGGGTTTCAAGTGGCAAAAGAGCATCCCAGGGATCAGTGTCCGGAATGGACGGGCAGAGAGAGCGATCAGATCGGTCCAAGAAAAGATGTGCTCAATGCTCATTGGTCGAGCTTGTCCCAGAGAGCTGTGGCCATATGCAATCACAGCAGCTGCACATGTGGTGAATCTCACCCCATCAGCCACCAAGACCATCCCCCACAAGGCCTTTTATGGAACCACTGCACACAAGCTGGCCCAGCAGCTGTGAGTCTTCGGATGCTTGGCATGGGTCCATGTTCAACGGAAGGACCAGCAGGGCAAGTACAGGGCTAGAGCAAAGCCAGCCATCATGATTGGATATGACGATGAGCACAAAGCATGGAAGTTTTGCAACCTGGACCAGCCTGCATCAATTCAATGGAGCAACTCAGCAACGTTCCATGAGGACAAAGGATGGAGTGATCGCCAACAGGAGGTAGTCCGGCCCATGATGACTGCAGAGGTCGAGGAGGAGGGTGTCATGCCAGCTGCAGTGGAGGATCTCCTACCAGCTATAGACGACACAGTAGGTGCCACCAATACAGCAGTACTGAACCTGGACCCAACGCTTGGGGAAGCAATGAATGGTGAGGATGCCCAACTCTGGAAGGAGGCCATACCAAAAGAACTGGAAGGACTTGAGGCAATGGGGACTTGGGAGGTGGTGAATCACCCACCAGGAGCACCACTTGTGGACTCTAAGGTCATGCTACAACTAAAGCTTGATGCTGATGGTGTGCCCATAAAGCACAAGGCATGACTGGTGGCTAGGGGCTTCACACAGAGAGAGGGAATCGACTACCAGGAAACCTTCTCCACAGTAGCACCCCTTGGAGCAATCAGAGCTATCCTAGCACTAGCAGTACAGAACGACTGGGAGGTGCATGCACTGGATATCACAATGGCTTACCTAAACTCTAGACTAAAAGAAGCAATCTATATGAAACCACCAGAGGGATCAGGAGTAGCACCCAGACAGGTATACAAAGTGGTCAAGGGCCTGTATGGCCTAAAGCAGTCTGGGCGAGAATGGAACCAGGAGTTTGACAGGTCTTTAAGACGTATGGGGTTCTTCCAGGTGGAGTGTGCTCCCTGCATCTACACCAAGGGACAGGGTGAAGATATGGCCATTGTGGTCATCTACGTCGATGATACATTAGTCATAGCACCACAGCTGGAAACAGTCCTAAAGGTTAAAAAGCAGATCGGTCAGAGATGGAAGATGGAAGATAGTGGCGAGGTCTCTCACTTCCTCAGCATCAAAATCAGTCAAAACTGTACAATGTGCACCATGACGATTGGTCAGTCAGGGTACATTGACCAAGTGCTAGCTAAGCACCTGGACAAATGCACCAAGCCAACTATGGTTCCAATGCAGAGTATACCAGAGGGAACCCTTGTCACAAGTGCAGCACAACAGAAGGAGTATCCGGTGATTGTTGGCAAGCTGCTCTGGGTTGCCAACAGCACCCAGCCCAACCTTAGCCTCACTGTAAGTGTCCTCGCTAGACACATGTGTGAACCATCTCAAGAACATTATCAGGCAGCACAATGGGTCTTATGCTACCTCGAAGGCACAAAGAATGTTGGATTAGTTTATAGGGGAAATATGTCACAAGAGCCGCTGATTGTGCATAGCGATGCAAACTGGGCAAGCAATGCCACCATTCAGAGAAGGAGTACATCGGGGTCAGTGGCATTAGTGTATGGGAACCCAGTAGCCTGGAAGTCAGCAACACAGAAATGCATATCACTGTCTGCCATCGAGGTGAAGTTCATTGCAGCCATGGAAGCAACACGTGAGGTGCTCTTCCTCAAGCAGCTGCTATGCTCAATTGGCATTGCCACAGGCACCAAAACAGTCTACTCAGACAACACTGGTTGCATACAGGTTAGTAAAGACCCAGCACAGCACTGGAAGCTCAAGCACATCGACACCAAGTATCACTTTGTCCATAACAACATTCAAGAGGGAAGGGTGCAAATCAAGTATGTGGACACCACAAGGAATTTGGCAGATGTACTCACCAAGCCAATCGGGAGACAAGCAATGCAGCAAGCAAGATCTGGGCTGCACCTGCAAACACCGGCAGCGGCATATGAAATGGAGTCCCCGAGCTATGCGATGATGTTAAAGAATGGAGGATATACCTTGAAACAACAGCATAATGAACAGGGTACACATGCTGTTGAGGGGGGGAGTTGAAGTAGGTAAAAGCCATACAAAGCATAGAGATGGTGAAGGTAGTGCTTACAGCCAAGTAAAAGGCTTGAGCATCTGAGCACAGACCACATGTGTCACAACCTACTCAAGACAAATGCTTTGTTATGCTCCGCAGTCGATGCGGCTCTCTGCCGCTCTTCTTTTGTATATAAAGACTCCTTCTCTCTTTCCTCGCTCTCTCTCTCTCTTACTATCATCATCATAAATCACACGAAACTTCAACTGTTGCAACCTTTCGAAGACGCGATTCAACTTAGAATTGCTGCTAGAGACACGCAATGTAACACCTTGCAAAAATTGCAACTTTTTCTTTCATCAAAAGGCGAGAGCCGCTGATGGAGATGAGACTTGGATCGCTTCAGCCTGCATTGGCTCACATCAACATGGGTCTGTTGAGTTTAGGTCCCGATACTGGCGATCGGGAAGAGTCTAAGTACGATGTCACTGCTGCGAAAAGACAGAAACATATATACTCAATTGACTGAAGGAATGTGGCGAGAGCCTAGTGCTCTCTGTGAGGTATATATACATGTGAGCGGCACATGCCGGATCTGGGAGTTGCCATATCTAATGATCCAGCCTGACAACGAGTGGGGACTTGGTTGTTCCCGATTTCCAGTGAAATCGGTTTGTCCTCGATCTTCGATCAGATCGGTCCTCTGACCGGATCGGCTCTCCCTGATCTCCGATTGGATCGGCTCAGCGTCACTCTTTAACATCTCACTGGATCGTAATCTTCAACAGGGTCATGTCGAGGCCATCTCAGCGGTCCCAAGGTAGCGTGTATCTTTTGAAGGCCAAGGCGGTGTTCCTTGACAAGCGTGTGCAAAAGACCATCGTTACTTGAGCTGAGGATGGAAGCTCGGGAGCGCCACTAATCTGTTCCAAAGATGTTGGATGGCTAGGGGTGTCGAGCTGGTGACAGATACACAGCGGCTCCTGTTGGCCGACCAAGAGTTTGTGACGTGCAATGTTAGACGCCTCGGGTAACGGATGCGAGCACGACATTCCGAGAGCCTCGGAAGGGAAGAAGACCCACCAAGAGCGATGTATGGTTGAGTCCCGGTGTCGATATCAAAGTCGTGAGTCCTCGATGTACCTGACGGTCTACAGATGAAGTGTCTGAACTAGTCTCACCTTGATCAGTAAGCGAGGTCAAACCTCCTTGTATCCGCCCCGGGTTCCGGTCTCTTTCAGCTTCTTCCCGCTAGGCATGTCTCTGAGCTTGCGATGAGTTGAGACGCATTGTGTACTCTAGCTTCTATCTCTGAGAATCTAGCCGAAGACACTAAGTAAAGTCGGTGATGTTGCGATCGAGACGATGCGGAGGGAAGGTTCAATTGACCTCGTTGTCCGAGCATGTTAGTTTCCTTTGTTTGCTTGTCTCCTTCTGCACGCGGGAAGAAGAGAAGAAACGTGTGGGCGCTTCTTGCAGGTTCGAAACGCTTGCGGAGATTGCCAACCTTGCATTATTGCAAATGCAGTCGAGCCTCTTTGTTCGAGAGCAGCTTCGGCCATTTTCATGTTCAAGACGCCGATATGAGGGTCCTGCAGACTTGCGTCCACCGCATCGGCAGTGACAGTGTTGCTCAACCAGCCGGGGATTACGACGTCTCTCAAGTCGTGCGAAGAAGCAGTACACTTCCTCCTTGCTGGGTGTTACTGCAATCATGGCCACAAAGCGAATAGCAAAACCTACGTCGTGAGTTCTAGCGGCAGTGCAAACATTAATTCGCAGCGACTTTTGCACAAGATAGCGATCTACCTGATGCTGCACACCCGACCGGATCGGAGTTGCGATTCCCTCTTCAGAAAGCGAACTGCACCTGTGTTGCTCGCACCCTGATGCTCACTTCCAGTTGCACGGTGTCTTCAGCTTTTATTTCTTTGCGAGCCCACCTTCTGAGTTGTTGCGTTGTGGTGACACAGAGGAACACACGATCTTGCTTTTTTTTTTTTGGGGGTTCTCTGGACTAAGAAGAAATTTATCACCATCTTTATCTCCCAGTAAAGGGGCTTTCAGTGATCCACGCAGTTTTGAAAATATGTTTGGGTCCAATTTTTGATGCCCCAAGAAACTGCACAGGCCTGTGACACTTGCATCTTGGAGTTGTTACAGGGTCTGCGTAGAAGACCGAGGACACTGGACATGCATTGAATGCGCAGTGCGCACGAAATGCGAAATCGGTCGAGTCGCAGGCTTCTGACAGGTATCGCAAGGCGCGCCGCGAAAGGAGGCCATCGATGCATTGAGACTCATGCGTCCTCATAGGATTGAAGGGACAGCTGTAGGAGGCTCGTCGCCCTCGCTGATGGCGAGCAGAGACCTACGAGAAGAGGTATCCAGATGAGGGTCCCGCCACTCGGGATGAAGTGGGTGATACCCCTCTGCAACAATGAGGTCGCAGACAGAGCCGGTGGACTTGGTAAAGGTAGAGGCTCGCGTTCATGAAGGGGGCCAAGAGAAGCAGGAGGAGCATGAGCAGTGTCGAGGAGGTTCCCACACCGATCAAGAGGAAGAGGAGTAGTGTCGAGGAGATCATCCACTCTTAACTTATCTATACTTTATGTTTTAATGTTGTACGTATTCTGGCCTTAGGTGCATTAATCACAGTCTCTTCAAGTATCGTCCACAGCTGCAGTGCAAGGTATTGCAGTTACATCGTGAGTGTGTTGTATCATCGCATCTAGATGACGTCGACACCTCAATCGACGCTACCGAACCTCAACTGTAGGCAGCACCTCCACTGCGGTCCTGGCACCTCAACCAGTACTATCACACGACTGTCTGCAAATTAGAACACTCGTGCAAAGGCAGTCGTCGTCAGACTATACATTAGGTATAGTCACCTCCTCAATCAAACTAAGTACTCGAGAACGCCGAACATGCCAGGCTACCTCTGAACGTAGTCGAAATCCATCGGAAAACAGCCACTCGACCTATTTCGCCGAAATCGGTCGAAACGAGCTGACTCGACATATCTCACTGAAATCAGACGGATCAAGCTCACTCATCAGATTTCGGGTTTCAGGCGCGCGACCGCTGACACCCTTGTCATCATCGTATGAAACGTTACATTGAGCGCATTGTGTCAAGAGGAAAGGCAAGATACAAGCAAGCAATGGGTGATAGCGAGGAGAGCAGGACAAGTAACATATGTTTACTGTTAGGTTACCTCTCTTATCGGCCGTATGACTTGAACGCGTTTTTGCAAACCTGCGTCTCCTTGGGGGCCGTTCAAATTTCCTCCCAAAAGGCGCCCTTCGAAAAACCGGCGTTTTTAAAAACGCAAAAAGTTTGATACCGCCTCAAGTCCCTTTGGCTCGCTTCTGTCAACTGACAGCTCGCTCCGCCAAACCTGCATCCTTCCAATTTCCCATGCTTACCACCTTTAGTCTGCTTGTATCATCGAGCTATCATGGAGCTAGCAGCCATGGTACGGATCCAGTTCATCTTCTGCTCCTGGTCCCGGCGGATATTATGGGTAAAGGGCAGCCACTCGAGAGGACAGGTGTGAAAAGAGGTGACGCGGGCTTAATGGGCGTCTGATGGCTTGATCTCGAGGTGTGACTGTCAGGATCGGAGTTGGAAGAAAGATTAGTTTTGAGTTTGGTGTTGGTCTTCTCCTATCTTTGTGTGTGTGTTTGCTTCTCTTATATGCTGACCTGGGGTCGGTCATTTGAACCTTGCGTCCATTTCTTGTACGATCTTGTTCTTTGGTTTCCATGCCGCTCATGCTGTCTTTTTGTTGCTGAGCTGCATCATGTGTCCCTCTTGCTTGGCACGGAAAGGTCTGCGATGCCAGTCCTTGACTGAGCGCAGCTCGTAAACTCCTCTACATAGTGATGCCCCCCCCCTTCGTCTTTACCCGCCATCTTCTCAACCAACAACACCATCTTGACACATTCTCAGCATCCTCTGCTACTCTTGTCAGCCCGGATCTCATCCGTCGCTGTCGCCTCCGCTTCGTTGGCGCTCGGTGTCGCTCATCTCTTTCGGCTCATTCCTCCAGCGGGCTCAGCCCTGGCCTTCATTTCGACTCCTGAATCTCCAGGCACATCGATCCGTCACTGTGCATTACTTATTGCATCAGTCTCACAGCTGTAGAACAAAACCCGTCAGCTCCTCAGCATCAGAAGTTCCCGGCCCATCCATAACTCTGCAGCACGGCGTCACCCAGCCCACTTTGTCGCCAACAACGTGGTGTTGGCTTGAGCACGAACAAAAACAGCCTTCGCGAGGTGAGAGTCTCTGCAGGAAGCTGCGGTCATGCTTGAACAACATGCACCTCACGTCTTCACCCTCTCCACCTCTCCCCACCGCCAACGCAAGCCCCCCACGCAACAGCTTCCACGCAGCATCCTCAAAAAAACATCCCCAGCATCTTGTCCACCATCTTGCTCAACACTTTCATCGCCTTCGAGCATAACTTCGCCAATGACGTCGCCACGATCCAGTGACTTTGCAATCCCGGCCTATCACTCGAACCAATGGACTGTTGTCGGGATCGCAAAAGCACAGCAGCGGCGACAGTCCAACCCAGTTGCGTTACCAATCCTATCACAGAACACGAGCCTGACAGTGACATTGCTCTACATGCCAACAGAGACGCTGTATGCCTGGCCCTTCAACTTGTCTTCGCCCGACGCCAAAGGAGTCTGCTACGAGACGTACGCTGCTGGCAAACATGACGGACACACTCGCAGGCCTCCAGAAGGGATGATGAGCATCAGTCTACGTGTGCTGGCAGATGTTATTCGATGCTGGATGAAGATCCGTCGAACACGAGCTGCTCTGGCGAAGCGCGGAGGACCCGAAAGCAGCTCAATCTCCAGCAGGCTCAACTCGTCTCCCTCCTCTGTGGACGACGTTGTGGACAATGATGAGGTTATTGACGAGATCGTCGAAGCGTTAGACCTTCATCCGCTAGCCCCGCTAGAAAGATCAATCCATCTTCTACGCCAGGTTCTACCAGAGCAGCCCGGATCTCCTACCCGATCAGACAACGAAGGGTGTCTTCGGCAACGCGAAAGTATTCTGACGTCCAGCGGCTCGGACAGCGACCTGGACTCGCGTCATCGCAGCGAACCCTCGGTGTCTAGTCGCGCCAGCACCGTCGAGCCAAGTCTCGAAGACCTGCCCTCCAAAAAGACTTCTTCGCCTAAGCTTCCCAAGATCAACACTACCTTACCTTCGCTCTCCCAGCAGAATACCCCTTCAGTGCCGCAGATCTGCTTGGTGGAAGCAACACCGCAGGAAGCAGAGTATGAGGAACGTGATCGAGCATTGGAGAAGGCTCGTCCGATCAGCAGTCGCAACAGTAGCTTCAACAGTCGCAGTATGGACACTGTACACGAGAATGATTCCGAAGACGACGACAACAACACTTGCGACTCGACGCTCAGAGAAGCAACGCCCACGCATGATAGTGGCGAAGTCACATTCATCAAGATCCACCCTTGCGACCGTCGGCCGCTCGAACAACATTCCGCAAGCCCAAAGACGGCAACACCTGCTGCGCTGAACCCAAAGGAACCTATCGCTGCGAACAGCGAGCGCACTCATAGCTCATCACCTAGCAAAGTTTCCTTCCCAGACCCTTTCAAAAGCTTGCAGCGCTCCACCTCCAAGCCTGACATCCGCGTCGAGACCATCGAGTATGGCAGTCCTGACTCGCTGCTGGTCTCGTCAAACAAAGATAGTGTTGACAAAAGCAGCAAGACTGAATCCTCGAGGAGGCCGTCATTTGAAGGTTTAAGGGCAATGTTTGGCAGCATTAGAAGCAAGTCTCAGTATTCCTCCAGTCTCTCATCCTATTAGTATCTGTGTTAAAAGCGTCCCAGACATTCCACCTTCACGTCACTACCGGCTCTCTCGAATTAAATCCCGTTCCGTCACCAATCTGTACTCTAGACTCTCAAGCTCCAGCACTCCGATCCTAATGTCACCGTACCACAACACATCTGAGCTCCGGAAGACTTCGATATGGGGTCCTTCTCATGTTCTTGTGACTGTCAAATGTTCTTGAGCGAGGAGAGCCTGTCCGCGAGAGCCAAGCTGTTGGGTTGGTTTGGATTGGAGTGGCGTTGCACTTTTTCCAGCTTTATTCGAGTTTTTCCCAATCGCTGACAGCTGACTCACAGTTGCTTCTCCTCCAGGCTAGAGCAAAGCTGTATGACGTAGCCGTGCTTCGGTTGTGCAAGCAGCACACTCGCGTCTTATCAATAGGACTTTGACTGCTCCACACACATGCTCATTCGAGTCGAGGAGCAACCCTACAGGCTCGAGAGGATGCAAGCCGAATGAGTGCAACGTTGGGTAACTGCAGCAACTTGTGTACCGAGCTCTGCGTTCAAGTACATCTCATTGCACGCCGGGTTGTCTTTCGACGATCATCAGCTACCGAAGATCAGCTCAAAAGTTCTGTACCGCTACCATGTCGTTCAACAACACCGAGCTAAACAACAGCAGCAGTGAGTAGCAAGGTAGCTTACACGACGGCCGGCATAAAGCTGAGACTGATGTTGACCTATTTGACGCCTTCGATCTTTGTACATGGTCACTGTGAATGCCTCCGACGAACAGACACCGCTGGCACCCAGCCTCTTTCCGTAGGCGATGACCGCCTGGCTTCGGACAACAACTTCACCGACCAGTCCTCGGCTCACCCAAACCCTTCGAACCCAGACCACCAGCAGAACGAAGGGGGCGAGACAATCGATCAGGGCGGCTACGGGCTTTCTGCTTCCGGTGGTGATCAGTTCGCTAAAAAGAACCAGACAGGTCAGGGCTTCTCGTCCACTCAGGGCACATCAGGACAGTTCCAGCCCAGCATTCAGGACTCGATCGGCAACACCAATTACCGTGCCGATGCACCTTCGGATACCGACAACGTCACTCATCGCAACCCTGATATGTAATGGTCGCAAGACATAAGTAGTGGTGGAAGCAATTGATTAAGGTCTGTGCGCCTTCACTGCTGCCAATTTCGAGGTGCGTGTTGCAGTTCAGGAGCTAACAAACAGCTGGAGAGAAAAAAATCGATTGCCTGGCTTGGATTTCCGTTTGACTTTTTAGCTCCAGTCTGCAGCGTGTCAGGGGTCGCGCGCCTGAAACCTGATATCTGTAGTAGAAATGCATCTATTACAGATCCTATTGAGATCTGTGGTAAATAGCAACCTATTATTATTCTTGTCAAGATATGTTGTAGAGAGGCCTCTATGACTTTCCTTGCTCAGACCTGTGAGAGATTGATTGCTATTGCAGGTTTTGACTGACCACTGTGGACACTCTGTCCAGAGGTAGCTCAGCATGATCAAAAACTATAGGAACTATTGGATGACACCAAGGTCTGGTGTGAGTATGCTTGTTGGTGTTGGCACAAGTGTCCAGTGTGTTGACTGAGTGCTTGAAGTGATCCCTGGACCACAGTGGACAACTGCCTTTGGTTCTATGATCATGAGCTGGACCATGTCATGGGCCTGGGTGTGCAGTATGAGGAAAGACCGAAGTTCATATGAAGGTAGCGCAGGAATTGTGGAATTGGGTAGATCGTAGGAGCTGCGACAGAGTTCACCGAGATCAGCAGTAGAATCAGCTCTATGGCAGATCACAGTGGAATCAGCACAAGCATCGTTGATATCACGAATCCCACCGGAATCTGCAACAAGTGAGACCTTGTGGCAGATTCCATGGAGATCGGTAGCAAGGTTGTCCATATGATGATTCACACGCAAGAGGGACCGAGCTCAGTGACACGTGGTCGGTTACCACTCAGGGGCCACAGAACAGGAGTAGAAGAGAACCATTGCCAGTCAAAGGAAGGAGATCTGTGTATAGGACACTGGCAAAAGGGACATGAAGAAGAGGAGCAGTGTCAATGAAGTTGACACAGCTCAGGAAAGACAGGAGGGACAAGGTGTCATGGGCCTGGATGCTCAAGAAGCAGGAGGGTCATGGGTTCATATGGAAGGAGCACAGGTATCGAAGACCTAGTCGACACCAGTAGAGAGCATGGTCGTAGTGCAGTCTCCATGGAGACCATGGACTCCTATGGACTCACATGCAAAGGAGGGCCAAGCACAGCCACGAGGAGGACCAAGCTCAAGGAGCAGGCACAGCCACGAGGAGGACCAAGCTCAAGGAGCAGGCACAGCCACGAAGAGGACCAAGCTCAAGGAGCATGCAGATGGTTACCACTCAGGGGCTCGAGAGACAAGAGCCAAAGGAACTGTCACTGATCAAAGGAGGAGGAGCAGTGTCGAAGGAGTCGACACCAGGTCATGAGGAGGAGGAGCAGTGTCGAAGGAGTCGACACAGCTCAAGAGGCACAGGGGTGCCAAGCAGGAGAGGCCCCTGAGCAGTACTCGATGAAGAAGGTACTCTCTGGAGAGAGAGCAGGAGCAGCATCGCTGGCGATACTGAGAAGAGGTATATAACCATGCTTTCTCATCAATAGGTCGAGTGGATCCTCATCCACTCTACTCACCATACAACTAGTCAATACTTTAGAAACACAAGTACTCATTAGTTACAGTCAGCATAGCAGCAATCTATCAAGGTTGCTCCTCATCGTAGTGTGTGTGTTGTATCACCACTACCTGACGTCCGAAGGCGCCCATAGCAGGTTAGCGGTCCGGATATAGATAGAACCGAAGGCAGTAGTCCACTGCGGTCCGGGGATCACTTCAAAGCATCAAGTCAACACACTGGACACTCGTGTTGACGCCACCAACCTTATCACCAACACCATCAACCTCATTATCATTGACATCACCAATCTTATCATCAACACCATCAACCTCATTATCATCGACATCACCAATCTCATCACCAACACCATCAACCTCATCATCATCAACACCCACACCAGACCTTGGTGTCATCATAACATTGATATTGATCGTGCCGAGCTACCCCTGAACGGAGTGTCCACAGAGGTCAGCCGAAACCTACGATAGTATATACAACGAACGCCACCTGCTGTCACTGCACAACTTGATAGTCACCGATACCGAGACAATAGCTGTCACACAGTTTAATAGTCACCGAGTATCTTGACAGACCGACCTGGGTTTCAGGCGCGAGACCCCTGACATTAGAGTGGATCGTTCAAGCAGCTCCTCACGATCACCATGACGGACCCAGACCTCAACAATAAGCTCGATAGACTACTCACTCTATTGGAAGCCCAGCTAGAGCTTACTAGGCAGGGTCATCGAGAGGAACGATTACAACGAGCTCAACTGAGCAGGGAGGAGACAATGGACCTCTCTCACTCAGAAGACCAAGCAGGAGGAGGAGATGAGTCTATGATAGGAGACCCACATACTCCTACTCCAGCTCCACGACCAAGACGATCAGTCTCATTCAACCTGGATGAGCAGGAGGACATCAACTACGAGAAGTATGCTTCACCTACTGGGCCAAGATATGTCAAGACTAAGCTGGACCCCTACAGCAGGACTAGGACGGACCCTTACCCCCTGGACCACGAGGAGGATACCAGCATCGTGGCAGAGCTTAACCGGTCAAAGCCCATTGCCACCCCCTTTCCAAAGTTCAATCCCCGAGACATGGAGATCTTCATTCTAGAAGCCGAAGCATGGTTTAAGTTCAACCAGGTGTATGAGCAGTCTAGGATGATCAATCACATGGGTGCTCAACTGGAAGGGACAGCAAGAGAGTGGTGGACCTCCAAGCTCCGTATTGATAGAGCTAGAGAAGGAAGGTTGTTCAATGATTGGCACTACTTCACAGAGCGACTGTCAGAGCAGTTCAACCCACGCAATGCTAGGATGGAGGCATACAACAAGCTGTTGGCTCTCAGACTCACAAGTGATACTCCTGGTGCCGCCACACGTCATGTAGAGCGGTTCAGAGACTTGGAAGGACAGGTCAACCTAGATGACAACGAGCTAGTGATTGATCTCTTCAGAGGTAGTCTCACTCGCAGCATACAGGAGAAGTTCGAGAGGAATCCACCTGGGAAGAGATGGGAGTGGTATCGAGAGGTTGAGGAGATCGATCGACAGAGGATGCTACTACAGCAGTCCTCGGCTAGACACTCACTCCCAAATGCCACATCACCTCCACTAAGAACTGGGTCTCGGCCAAATCAAAGTTCGATCCCCATCCGACAACCCACTCAAACTTATCCAGCTCGATCACCATCACAAGCAACTACACAAGCAACTATACAAAACCTAAACCGACCCCTTCCTCATCATCCCACCCAACCCTCGAAGCAAGGAAGCCCTGCTCCATCAGGTATCAACACCTGTCATGTATGCAAAGGTATTGGCCATTGGGCCAGAGACTGCCCCAGCAGGAGGGTAGACCCTCTTAGCTCTTGACCCATGGGACCAAAGGTTATGGTCACCACAGCAGACCCCTTCGAGGAGGCCACCGACTCAGGAGATGGCCACACAGGCAGCACTGAGACGGGTGACCCCGAGGCCATGGACCTCAGCTCATACCAGCAACCCATGGACCCCGATCACGAGGAGGAGCACAATGATGATGACGACGAGGGAAACGTCAGTGGGGTGATGCACTGATGGCATGCATTGCTCTACAAACCTCCTCGCCATCACTCTGTATATATCAAGATTGTCAAGTATGTTTCTCTACCAGTGGAGGCAAAGCAGTACTGGAGCTCTCTGGAATGGTTCAAGACCATCCTGCTCGGATACTAGCTGATACCGGTGCTGGTTTGTCCATAGTCTCAGATTCTTTCATTAGTAAGTACCAAATACCCACAAAACCCATAAAAACAAGATCGATCCATGGTGTCACCGGGCACCAACTCTCCATCAATAGTTCTGCGAGCATGCAGGTATCTATTGGTACACACAATCTGGGTGTGGTCGAAGCTTCAGTGGCCGACACTGCGGACTATGACCTCATCCTGGGGTTCACTGAGCTACGGAGGCTCAAACCCACCATACAATGGGATACGGGCCAGCTGGAGTTCAAGACTCAGGAGCAGGACCGACCCCCTAGGAGACCCCCTGAAGCAGCAAGAGCAGGGGACCTAACCATGAGGAGACCAACCCTTCATGGTAACGAGTTTGTCTCAGCAGAGCGCATACTACGAGCAGCTCTGGAAGATGGACCCATAGGGTTCATGCTGTTAGAGGAGCCACCATCATCACTCCCAGCCTTTGGTTTTGTACCTACAGGCGCAGACAAAGGAGTCGAGATGGAGGTGGAGGTAGATAAGGTGGTGACGGCTGCAGACATACCAAAGCCATACCAACACCTGCGAGATGTGTTTGATGAGGTGGAAGCAGACAAGCTGCCCCATCATACCGAGCATGATCTCCACCTCGAGTTGATAGAAGGAGGTAAGCCACCTCAAGGGCCCCTATACCTTAAGGGACCCAAGGAGATGTCTGAGTTGAGGAGATACTTGGATGAGAACCTCGAGAAGGGGTTCATAAGACCATCGAAGAGCCCGGCACGATCACCAGTGCTCTTCGTACCAAAGAAGGATGGAGGTCTCAGACTCTGTGTGGACTACAGAGGTCTCAACGAGATCACTGTCAAGAACAGGGCACCATTGCCCCTCATCGAGGAGCAGCTGTTCTTACTCAGGAAGGCAAGGATCTATACCAAGCTAGACCTTAGAGCAGCATACAACCTCATCCGGATTGCTAAAGGAGATGAATGGAAGACAGCTTTTGGCACTCAGTTGGGACTCTATGAGTACCTAGTGATGCCCTTTGGCCTAGCCAATGCTCCGGCTCACTTCCAGTCATTCATCAATGACATCTTCCGAGACATCATTGGGATATATGTGGTAGTATACCTAGATGACTTCCTGATCTTCAGTGACACTGAAGAAGCACATGTGAAGCATGTCACTGAGGTCCTCACTCGCTTAAGGAGCAACAGGCTCTTTGCTAAGCTGTCAAAG